TTTTTTTTCTTCAAAAGCCACCATAGCTTAACTAATGTGAGGGGTGAGCAAAGGAGGGTTTCAATCTAGAATCTGACAGCTAGATATGTCACTGATTATTCATATTTCTGCACGAGGAACAATTCATATTGAAAATGACACATCTGAGTCAAGGCCACTAGCTTTGACAACATGAGGGGTGAGCTAGGGGGCATTGCAGTCTTGAAAGCTTGATATTGCTTCTTCTTTCTTTTCACATTTCCAAACAATGTATCAGGCTGTATTGAGTCCATAATGATAATTTCTTACATTTTGATGAAAACAAGACTGAAAACTTGGGTTACTAGTATTTTAATTGATCCCATTGTATCACCTAAACCATGCCTTTCAGTATTATTTTTCCAGTGGATACTGCTGATGTAACACCACCCATTTTATTCCAGCCTCCTCAAGTATGCACATTCACACAAACCACACACACACCTCTGTGAATCTGTGGATCCCCTCACAATGCAGGACAATAGAGTGCTGACATGGAAACTTTCAGAGCACCCTGTATATTTATAGAGCTGACATTATCTGAGAAACTGCTGGCAGTGCTTGACGGGGTCTGCTCTACACAGGTCTCAGCACTCAGTGAAATGCACCCTGTCATGTATTCAAAGCACAGAGATACTGAGGGGAACTACCCATGGATGACTGAAACCTTTTTGGCCATGTATAGTAAACCTCTATATTTAAATTAACCAGTTGGGCTCTGTCATCAAAACACAGTCAAATTACTGAATTTGATAAGTATTTGGAGGAAATACATCAAAATAAAGCACAGAATTTTGAAATGTGGCTTTTTAGGAGTGTGTTCATTATACAAAATACACACTAACTGTTTTCAATACATGGCATTGTATGCAAGTATTTTTTTTTAATGAAGGGATGACTTCATAAGATAATGAAATGCATTGTCCAGTCCACATTTGCCATATATAGAGGTAACATTTGGTGCAGCTTTCCATTTACCAGAACTATGAAAAACCAATATCATCAGGCCTGTACTGAATGCATGATGCTGCATTACAATTCACCCTGTGACATTTGTCAGATCTTCTTTCTCAGCCTCATAGAACGTGATTTACAGAGTAGCAGCTGGTGTTATTGTACTAATTAGCCTGTCAACCAGCGTGCAGTTTATCAACTCCACGGAGCCCTCAGCTGTTTACAGCAGGCATGTGGCACGTTACAGTCACGCCTGTTGGTGCCAATAACAGAACTGCAGACATGCTCATTGTCAGCGACTGTTAATGAAATGTGCTCATCTGCAGGTTTGGGTGACTGTTAACTTCTAGAATCACACATCTATAGCATTGTTGCATTTTTGTGATTTACATTCTGTTTCACCACATCAACTAATTTCACTTGGTGCTCTCTGTACACAGTTGTGTATTTCAAACTGTATAGTGAATGGTAAACAAAACACTGTTCTTACAGGATTGACTGTTAAAGAGCAATTGCTGCAAACAGCTGCCAAAGTTTGTGCATGTGCTGGAAGAAGGTGGGAGGTGAAGAGCGGGGGGAGGGGGGCAGCTGTCAGGACAGACAAACCATGAGCTTCCTCTTTGTCCTTATAAGGACAAATGTGCCTCAAAACTGTGACCTGTTTAAGACCAATCTGCCTGATCCTGGTACAGAGACAGGACTGTGCCAAAAAGTGCTTCCTGACATGGAGAGAACTGTTGACAAAACACAACACAGAACACATCCAAAAACTTTCCTGATGTCTCTGCTTTAGAACTTTTACTCCACAATCTCTGGCATTGAAAAAAGACAAGAATTGTCTATATGAATACAGTAATAAGCTGTATAGTCTGCTGTGAAAAGTAAGGTCAATGTACTCTTGTGCCACAGGTGAAGACAATTAAACCCATCTAACAGCAAACATGTTAAAATATGCAAAACCTGGTCTATGTTTTAAAAACCAAGATGCTAGTAATGTTTGTTAGCTGGCAGCTTCCCTCTTTCTTAATTCTTAACATCTGTTTGCTACTTTTCTACGTAACCAACTCTTGTCAATGGAATAGTGACAAACATTACAAAGAAATGTAAAATAATCTTTTTAGTGTGCACAAGCAACATACAAACAATTTACAACAGCAAAAACATACAAAAAGTTCTTTACAGTGTCTTTAAATGCAATCTCAATATCTTTCAATGGACTGTTTCCACTGTTTTACTTTTTACTATATTAATTTAACAATTAAAAAATCAGAATGTATTTGTTCAAAAACCCTAAACAGACACCTGGTTAACTCTGGATACCAAATGTGGTATTAACACGATAATGGATTAATTTATCCCTTCATCAAAACAGTAGAGCCATTTTTTCTCTGAGGGATAACTTTCTGGTGATACAGAAAACAGATAACAGGCTGGTCCTTGTAATAGGCTGGACTATGCTGCTGCTACCTGTACTCATAATAACCAGGTGATTTCTACCTGTTTCTTTGTTTGTTTTTACATTTTTCACCCCTGAGACCGAGGTTACTGAATGATTATCTGGTGCTACAGTAGTGCAGTAACACTTAATATAAACCCATCTCTTTTAATGAATTATAAGTACATTAATAAAGCCTTATCATTGGATCTATAAGGCTTTCTAACCATTCTTATTGGTGATTATAAACATACATAGAATATTTAAAATGCATTATACCTTAACCATTATATCTTAGGGAATTTCCCCTGCTGGGACTAATAAAGGAATTTCTTATCTTAATGCAATAAGGGTGTGATCATTCAACAGGAAATCTTCAATAACCATTGGAGATCTGAGGTCTCAGTTATGTAAAAGCTTGGAATAGAACAGACAAGTAGGTTAGTAGTGTCTCTCTGAGGTACATTACACCACAAGGCTACAAATGGAGTATTTCAGGATGTTGATGGTGTGTGGGGGGTATTTACATTCTTACAGCACTCATGTATCCTGATAGAGCTCCTGCGTGGGGACACAGGCACTGTGGAAGCTGATAGAGGTGACGAATAAGGAGCCTGAGCGCAAGCTGACACACAGCCACTGGCACCTGTTACTCTCCATTCCCCTAAAAGGAGACATTGGAGCCAATCAGAGCTCAGGACAGGCACTTGTCGCTCCCAGCACAGGCCGTCCTGGAGATCTGTCATCTGCGGGGGGTCTGGGCTCTGGCCTCGGCTTCCTCCTCCCTTTTCCCTTTTACAATATGGCCTATCAGTCAGCTGTCTGGCATGTTTGTGCCCCCCTCCAACCACCCAGCTCCTTCCACATGCCCCAACTCTGGCAAACTCTCACAGGCAGGTCTCCTTAGACGGCTCCTTAACCGCAAGATTGCTCAGACAAGATCTCAGGTTACCCTCACACTCTCTGATCACCCACATCCCCACTGCCCTGTTTGAGCTTAGTCATATTAGCACATCCATAGAGACCAAAGGGCAGCTCGCCCGAGTATGAGTGGAAGGAAGATGCTAAGTATATGTGTAACTAAAATACTTAATATAAATGCAGTTTCAGGAATTAGTAAGGGTCACAATCTTACTTTTTAAATACACTCTAAGAGCCTACATTGATTTAAATAGCAATAACTTTTTTTAAGAATCAGCACAAATTAGTTAACACCTTTGCTGACGTTGAAATATTGCAACCAACTAAAATTTACACCTTAAATCTCCCGTGAGGGGTTTTAAACTTGTTATGAAACTGATTGAAATTAATATCGACACCTTCTTATGAATCAAAAAAGCAAGCAAGACCTTTACAAAGGTGAGTAACAACTTCTGTAAATGTCTAAAACCACTAGCAGGTGGTAGGTGTGAGACTAGGCGATAAATGGCACAATGCTCATACAGTCTTTCTTTACATGTGTTGTTGCAAAGATTCTATATCCTCGATTAACTTGACAATTAAAAGAAAGCATTATGAGCCTATTTTGTCAAGAAACACTTATTGCACATGTTTAGGGCAAAGTCTGCAAAGACTGTTTTATCCACAGGGGCACTATGATCAATATGCAAAACAAGAAGGCCCCTGCAGGAGCTTGAGGTATAATTCAAAAACTTTTCTGTCAAAGTGTCTCCCCTATATAAATACTTTAATCACAAAGCGTCTCCTTCATTCTTGCTATAGATTTTGGGTTTTGACATACTTTAAATTTCATTACTTTATCTTTTAAAGCTGCTATATGGAGTTCTTGAGTGGTTATGAAATAGATTGGATATTATACAGATGCCTTTACATGCTATACAAAAGTGAATGAAATCATTCGAGAGGAAGTTAATTATTTCACAATAGAAATTTACAGTGTCCAAAAACGCTGCTGTGGGGTAGGCATCAGACAGATTAAATGATTGCAAAAACAGCTTGTTTACACTTTCAATGACAAAAATGAACAGTGTGACTGTCAGAAGAAAGCAGGACAAGATTATTTATTTGAAACTCTGGATTAACAAAGATATTAGAGTTGTTCATTTGTCTACAGTGGATGCCAAAATGAACATAAACCAAAAGCTCCTCACAGGAGCTTTGAATAGCTTTTACACGCTGGTTCTAAGTCTGCTGTAATTCAAAAGATGATGATTTATGAATTGCCTAGTTTATTTTCTAACGCTGTACCTTGGGTTTTGCAAAGTGCTCAATTTTCACAATCATTTTAGTCATGAAATGTTATGCTGTTTCGTATGTACATATTGTAGTTTAAATACATCTCAGACTTTAACTGAAATTCATATCAAACTGAAAAAAAATGTTCAATCCTTTATCAAGTCACAATCAGTCCATCCGGAAATTCAAGCTTGATAATGTCCATTCAGTACTTCATGTACAAAACAACGAACATCTCCTTATTTTTGATGGCATCTCTGGACACAGGATCCTCTTTACTGAACCATTTAGCAAAGCAGCACTTAATTTGGGCTTGTGTGAACTCCTGAGCCCGCCCCCCCAGCCCCCAGCATCAGGACACTGAGATATATTTAAGGACCCCCTAACACCCTCGCCCCTTTGTCCCAGTGGAAACTCCAGTCTTGAGGTAACAACTTGGTAAGTCCTCCACAGTCTTCTTGCATTTCATTACTTTGGGTTTTGGGGCTGTGGGGGTGAAGGGGAATGAGCAGAGGCTGCTGCTGCAGCTGTTGGGTGTATTCAAAGCGTAGATATCTTTTATACAGTTTGAAGCTGTTCTAGGATCACAGCGGTTTTGGGGAACGAATGAGAGCTCATAGAATGAAGAGAACAAAACAGAAACAGTGGATGAACTAGGGAGGGAAGAAAAGTTAGAGGAGTTTATCACATCAGGAGTAATCTTACTGTGACATGCTGACAAGAAAAGACTGAGGTTTAGGGATGCTGCTTGCTCTAGACTTGCAGGAAGAAAGCCTCCCCTCTGGCTAGATGCCAACCAGAGCAAAATTAATTACAAATATGAAGATTCACAATATGATTTAGTTTGCATGAATGTACCAGCAGTCCAAATACAGGACTAAAAAAGGTCTTGTCATTACATTCATGAGATTAAGTTCAAACTGTTTTGGCAATGCTGGCATGGTCTTTTGGAAATGGACAGGTTGGATGGATAGAAAATGAAGAGATGTGCCATTTTTTTTAACTTACTAACTTTCAGTCTCAGTATCATAGCAAACTCTATCAATGTGTTGATAAACCAGTGATAATTTTTCATCAGGTCATTCATGCTTTATTAGGTTGTTCTCCTTGAAAACATCACAAATAACACCAAACCGCAACAGAAATTGAATTTACACATATTGATTAGATGGGACAGTCTGTATGGAGTAGAGGATGCTGTCACTCTGGATGCAGACGGTGGCCACAGACCTCTGTAAAGATCACAGCACATGGTCTGGTTTCAAATAAAGGGGTCCACTGTTAGTGTGGCGACAGCTGAGGATAGACCGAAGCCCCTTGCTGCCACTTGTCAAAAGACACACCGCTTCAGCTGTTAACTGGCTGTGGCTTAAGGATGACATACAGACTGAAGGGGGAGGTAGACAAGGGTCCTTAGGCTGAAAATAGACCTGTGAGTGTGTGTGTTGGGGGTCCAGCCATGTCCTGTTTTGGCTTTCCAGGCAGCTGAAAGAGATTAAAGCACTCAGAGGTGTCTTCATACTTAACATGGTGCTGAATTGTCTCAAAAAATTTCACGTTAATGCCAATCATACAAGATTTAAATGGATATATTACACATCAGAGAGTTAACAAGTGTTGTGATAGAAATACAGGCATTAAAGCTCTTGAGTGAGATAAGCATACTTTTAAAAATCCTAAGCTCATGTTTCACCTGTGATTCCATGCTTTGTCTCAAACAGAAGGCCAGCCAAGTAAAGACCAAACATGTGTGACGACGACGAGACCACCGCCCTGGTGTGTGACAATGGATCTGGTCTGGTCAAGGCTGGGTTTGCCGGTGATGACGCCCCCCGAGCTGTCTTCCCATCCATTGTTGGACGCCCCCGTCACCAGGTAGGGACCAAGATAAGGCAACGAGATCACGAAAAATGTGATGTTGTTAATGTTTTATTGCTGAATATCTGACATGTTTTGTTTGTTCTCAGGGTGTGATGGTGGGTATGGGTCAGAAAGACAGCTATGTGGGAGATGAGGCCCAGAGCAAGAGGGGTATCCTGACCTTGAAGTACCCCATCGAGCATGGCATCATCACCAACTGGGACGATATGGAGAAGGTGAGACAAGGACACAAGATCAGGACATGTTCTTCTATTAATCCATAATTAAGGCCTAATTCTAGGTCATCAAACCAACAACATGAAATTAAGACCCTCACATTACCCCTCTCTCTTCCTGTTTTACAGATCTGGCACCACACTTTCTACAACGAGCTCCGTGTGGCCCCAGAGGAGCACCCCACCCTGCTCACTGAGGCCCCTCTCAACCCTAAGGCCAACAGGGAGAAGATGACCCAGATCATGTTTGAGACCTTCAACGTCCCCGCCATGTATGTGGCTATCCAGGCTGTGCTGTCACTGTATGCCTCTGGTCGTACCACAGGTGAGTCTCTACCAATGGCTTTAACTGTGTGACTTAACAGGCCGATTAAAGATGCTTACTCCATGAGCTGTTCATAGAAGAACTTCCAACTTTTTATAAACAGGTATTGTGCTGGACTCTGGTGATGGTGTGACCCACAACGTGCCCATCTATGAGGGTTACGCTCTGCCCCACGCCATCATGCGTCTGGATCTGGCCGGTCGCGACCTGACTGACTACTTGATGAAGATTCTGACAGAGCGTGGCTACTCCTTTGTCACAACTGGTAAGCCAACCTTAACATCTTACTGTATTAGAAAACGAGCAACTAGTAAAATGATGGAGGTTAATACACCTAATGGATGTAATTCACTGCGACTTAAAGCAAGTCTGTTGAATTTTGCTCATGAGTATGCATTGAGCTACATTTGATGACTTGGGAATCCAACAAAAAAACTAGTAGTAGATCTGCATTTGTCAGTTATGGTGTTTTCTGTGATTGGCCAACAAAACTGTGGCATTTCCCTCCGCCAGCTGAGCGTGAGATCGTGCGTGACATCAAGGAGAAGCTGTGCTACGTAGCTCTGGACTTTGAGAATGAGATGGCCACTGCTGCCTCCTCCTCCTCTCTGGAGAAGAGCTACGAGCTGCCCGACGGTCAGGTCATCACCATCGGTAATGAGCGTTTCCGCTGCCCCGAGACCCTGTTCCAGCCCTCTTTCATCGGTGAGTTATGGTAACAGATGACCCGTCACTAAGCAGATACAGTTACTTCTGCAAGTAATAAGACCATATTATTAAGTGTTTTACACCTCAGATGGAGAGGAAATATACATCAATAAAGCTAGTGTCAGTGATTATTTGTGTTATTCATGCTATTTTTTTTCATATTAATTTGAATACTGATTTGTATTAAACTTGCGTCTTAAATACACCCCTTCCTCTCGCCCACCCAGGTATGGAGTCTGCTGGTATCCATGAGACAGCATACAACAGCATCATGAAATGCGACATTGACATCCGTAAGGACCTGTACGCCAACAACGTGCTGTCTGGTGGTACTACCATGTACCCTGGTATCGCTGACCGTATGCAGAAAGAGATCACTGCCCTGGCCCCAAGCACCATGAAGATCAAGGTGAGCCCTGAGTGACCAGCACTTGCAGGTTAAATCAAGCTGACATGCTAGGGAAAAGCTCAGTATCTTATAAAAATGTCTACATACTTACATCCACTTTTCTCTGCAGATCATCGCTCCCCCTGAGAGGAAATACTCCGTCTGGATTGGCGGCTCCATCCTGGCCTCCCTGTCCACCTTCCAGCAGATGTGGATCAGCAAGCAGGAGTACGATGAGGCAGGCCCCTCCATCGTCCACAGGAAGTGCTTCTAAGTCCCTAACCATCACCAAACACCCACTGTACCCTCCTACCTTCCATATCTGTATTTCTACTGTGCCTTTTGCTGTATATACATGTACTATTGTAATAAAAATAGCTGCTTTTAACAGAAACAGTCTGGAGTGTTTGGATCTTGATCCGTTAACAAAAGATGCATCCCACTATTTAAGAGTTTTGCATTCACTACACATGTATTGAAAACATTTTTTTTTGTTGTTGCAAAAAGAGAGGTTGCAAATTTAAATATAACGTTGGAGCTGAAATTGGATCATTATACTGGGCCACAAGCCCCAGCAAAAGTTGCTATTAGCACAACAGTTTTACAAGTTTTAACCCTATAAGACTTTTTTAAACCAATAAAACCAATTTAGAGCCTTTTCACAGCATGGTGTACCTAATAAAGTGGCCGGTGAGTGTATAGTACATTTCTCATGACCTAGCTGAGGTCGCTGTAGCTACAGATATACTTTTGAACACAAGATGGCTCACACACACTGTAAGCCAGTGGAGACTGACGTCCTTAAATGGCAGTGCATGTAGCATTTAAAAAACCATAGATTGCTTAATTTTGAACTGATTTTCAAATGGTTTGGTTTGTTATAAACCTTTGAGTTTTTTTTTATTTTATTCTTTCAACTCTTTGTTGATGAGATGTTTCTCCTTCAGTTCCTCCAAAAGAGTCTGCATGTTTTTCTTGGCCCTCCTTTCTCTTCGCAGCGCATTGTCCTTCTCCCACTCCAGTTTCCTCACTGTCGCTGAGGCTGCATTGAGTTGGACCTTAATGGCCTTGGAGCAAACAGGCAATGTGTTGGTCAGTGGCCTGCCACTTGCGGCTCTTCTGCCTCTCTCCAGTGGCTCCCTGTTCCATTGGCAAAATATATGAATATTGTATAAATTACAGTAAAATCGAAATAAATTACAGTTACTTTTTAAAACATTCAATGTTCACTTATCATTGTTGTTTGGTGTTAAGAGATTATTTTGTACATTCTCCAACAGAAAACACAAATCAGTGTAGGTTCAAGATATTAATCCCAATAGGCCTATCCAGAGCAGTGGATTAAACAGAGTGGCGACAACTTCAGATCTTGCCGCCGGAGCGGTCACGTGGTTCATGTACCCCTCAACAGTTCCAAGCGCAGCCTGCACTGTCCATGCTCTTCAATGGGACAGACTGCAGTGAGTGTGTACACGTCAAAGTCACTTACGTATATTTGGTGGCTGGATGATAAATAAAAGTGAAATAAGACAAGTTTGTCTGGGTGTTTTTGGAGGGAAAACTTCGTGATGCAAAGTGATCTCTTATTTAGCAACATAAGGCTATTCTTGAACACTCTCTGACATTGGACAATGATGATAAATTATGGTTTTCACTCAGAGATTTTATGTGGGCAGTTTAAATAAATGTCACAACCGTGTGTGTGTGTGTGAGTGTGTGTGTGTGTGTGAGTGTGTGCGTGTGTGTGCGTGCGTGCGTGCGTGCGTGTGTGTGAAAACAAGAAAAAAATCATTCAAAAACATTATGAGAAGGCTCAAAATAAACTAATATTGTAAAACCACCGAATTGAAGGATTTAATGTTAAGGCATATGATGCTCTCATTTGTTAATGATATTCAACATGCAAATACTCACATCAGGCCGAGGTTTGTCCTGAGACAAGTCCAGTGCCAGGTTGTCTTCTGATCTTGAAGAAGTGTCTAACCTTCTTGTCAGTACCGGCTAAAAAACACCACACATTACAGAAGAAACTATAAATTTTAGCGTTTAACATTTAACGGTCTGTGCAGCTCTTATGGTACTCATAACCCCTTTTCTTGTAAACAACACAGCAAATACCATAACATGGAGCAAAGTTCAACAGCTGTAATCACTTACATAAGTTGATCTCATCACGTCATCAGAATTTTGAATATATTTAATGCTGTTGAATGACTGATATAAGCCCTATCTATGTGTCCATACATATTCAAAACATAAATACTTATCAATCAGAACACTAGCAATTGGCCATTTTCAAGTTACAAACTCATATGTACCACCTTCCCACCATGCCCTGAACGCAACACTCTTCCTTCACTTCCTCTTCTCTACTGCTACAGGTGATATTCATTAGCATTACACAGCCGGCCTCCTCCATTCACTGTCGACCAGCAGCACTGAGTTGCACAGATTTAGACGTGTTCATCCTTTAGTACTTGAATAATGAAAGTTACAGACAGAAATGTGATTCGGTTTCAGCTCCAGGTTATTTATGGGATAACTGTGAGGAGCTTTGAGAAGAGAAAAGACAGGCTGTTCATGAGTGGTGCAAAGATCTTTGGTGTCCCTTTGGAGAATTTGCCCAGAAGATACATCCCTGAGTTTGGACTTGTGCCATGGTATGAGCATTAAAAATTTATGATCAGAAAAATGGTTTTATATAACTTTATAATCTATAAAAACTGTTACATTTCAGCTTTTTAGTGGAGGCTTGCTCCTATCTCCTGGAGCGTGCTGGAAATGTGGGCTTGTTCAGAAAACCAGGCTCTCTACCCCGTATCAAGGTCCTCAGGGTGAGATTTAGTCTAACTAGTATAATTTTTAGAATATTTACAGCGCCACCTAATTTTTGGTAAAAACTGCTTGTATCACCCAGCTTTCTCTCCTTTGGATATAAGAATTAACCAAAAACATGTTGTGAATGTTTTTCTCTCTGTCTTAGGCCAAACTAAATCGAGGTGAGGGCTGTCTGTCTACAGCCCTCTCCTATGATGTGGCGACCCTCATAAAGCAGTTCTGCAGAGAGTTACTGGAGCCGCTGTTCCCCTCTGAGCTCCACCCAGCTCTGCTTAAAGCTCAGACTCTGTCCAACCCTACAGACCGGACTTCAGCCCTGCAGCTGCTGTCCTGTCTGCTGCCTGCGAGAAACTTCTCCTGTCTGCACTACCTGTTTGACTTCCTCAACAAAATCTCCCAGAGGTAGGATGAAACAAGGGTAGCTCACATTTTAACTTGCAACTGTGAGAAAAGAGAAACTTTTAGGGGAAATATAGTTAATGGACTATTGTTAAAATTTTAATTGAGTGTTTGCCATTTGTCTGAGTACTAGTCTTAATTCATGGTATGTCCCATATGTGTGGCCGTCAGGTGTGACGAGAACTTGATGACCAGCTCTAACCTTGCTACAGTATTTGCTCCGTGTCTTTTACCTCCTCCAAACAAGACAGAGATGTCTGAGGGACGTCTTGAACTCAGAGTCCTGGTTCTTTGCACCTACATTGAAAATCCTCAACTGTTTGGTATTGAGCACATCATGTTGATGCATATAACTTCATCATATCCATGCGTAGTAGATAACAGATCTTTGTGTTTTTCAGGTGTGATTCCTAAAACTGTGATGGATAGTATGGAGTTCCTGGTGAGTTTCTGTCCTCTGAAAGATGCAAAGAAAGGACACAGGAGGAGACATAGTTTTAAAGGTAAAGCATTAGTGTCTGACTGTTTGTACCATTAGCTCTTTTTTTTCTGATTGCCTTTTCTTTTAAAATACCTCAAAATAGTAATGCAGTCTGGTAAGACTGTTCCCTGGATCAAAGGGAGGTCAAAGGTTGAAGTTCAGGTTCCTGAGGAGAAGCAAGAGTCCACCTCAGGAGGCAGACTGGTGCTTAGGAGAAGCCTCGGCTTAGAAACTTTCCCAAATGTCCAGCTGTTTAGGACCTGTCTGCCTGGTGCAGGTACAAACACAGTAAAGACTCAAACAGGCTGTAAATTACACAATGTTTGTTTAACACTAAATGTAAATGTAAACTGTCTTTTTTTTTTCCAGAGCAGAGTTTCAGTCCTGCAGTAGCTTTGTTGGATAGTCCTTCAAAGGAGGTGTTAAAGACACCACCAGAGAAACCAAAAAGGTGATTCTTAAAACATTGGACAAGATAAGAAAAGACTGCTTTGTCTACAAGGGGCACCAAAACTGACCCAAACTAAAAGTTCCTCCTCAAAAGTTTAGGTCAAGAACACTGTCTAAAATCAAAAATCAAAAACACAACCACTATTTCTATTATGTCTTTCCTTGTCTTTTTTTTTTCAGGGATCTGCGTTTCGGTCATTTCCCCAAATTCCCCAGACGACCAGATGTAGAAAGCTCTCCCATGCTTCTTGGAGTCGGGAAACTGCAGATCACACCTTGGAAAAAACGCAATTCACTCTAAAGAGTTAAAATCAGGCAGAAGTCATGTGGGTTGACCCACATCAGGACACTTTTTTTTTAGTTCTGATGTATTATGGACCAGTTTTTATGAATAAGATGTCATCTAATACTTAATTTATATTAATATCCTTTGTTTTAATGAATGTATGTATTTAACTATTTATTTATCAGCAAGACTGTCCCTTTATTTTGTACCACAATAAATTTTATTCACAGTTTTATATAGCTTTTGTTTACCTGCATATGAGATTCATATTTACATAGCCTATTAAGTTTGCATGGCAAAAAGACCAAGTGAATTGCCAACTTACCTTTGGTGTATTTGTTATTTTATCTTAAGTGCAAGAAAATTACAATATATGGCATGTTTTAAAGATATAACCTGGGGGAAATTTAAAATTTTAGGTCAAACTTGTGAAATTATTGACAACCATGGTGACCCTTTTCAGCCGCCAAGAATTAAATCCAGGTTGAAGGTGGAAAGTGTTGATTCTAAATAGATAAAACAGGAAGAAGTTATAAGAAACTGGTTAAAAAATGAAAACGGGGAGTTAAATAATTCATCTCATGAACCGACTGGAACCTGTAATACAATTGAAAATAAGTCCAGGCATCACAGATGATGTTGTGATGTGCCATAAACAACTGGCACCCAATGACAGCCAATAAGACAGAAGGGTTCTTTGGTATCCTAGCAACAGTAACTCAACCGTGAAGTAGGCGAAGCGGATCGCATCCTTTACTAAAGATTGTGTAACGGGCAGCCGTGATTGACAGGGTGAAACAGCATCTTTCCTTCAAAACAAAGCGGTGTTAAAATATCTGGAGGGAGAGAGGCGTTTAGTGCGGTCTTTGTTGGAGCAACACGGTGGAGATCAAATCTGTTTCACGCTGTATTAACTTTTGTCGGAATAAACTTGTGAAAATCGCCAAGATATAAAAATAAGACCCGGTTTGTTTGTCAGTTTATGAAGTGAGCTTTTATTTTGAAAGCCAAAGCAGAGGGCTTCTTCCTGCTCGACGATTGTTCGCACAGCAGGCAGATTCTACCGTCAAACAAGGTAAGAAAAACACTCCTTGAACCCTGTTATGGTTAATTTTTATGTTTCATTGCGATGTAATCAAATATCCTATCTTACACAAATATGAATGAATAAAACCTTGTTTTCAACCAGCGGGTTTTTAAACCGTTTTCTTCTTTGAGGCTATTAATAGACTATTTACATCACCCGTTTTACCCCTGTTTTTTATTTGACAATGTATGTATCAATTTACATAGAAAGTACCTGGTTTACAGTTAATTCTATATCATAATTATAAGATAGTAAATATGTCGAGCATTATCTCTCCACATCAGGTGCCTTTTTTCTCCACCTGAGCTTGTTTGAACACGCAGTTGTGTTTGAAAATGAAAATTACTCGACTCCATCTTTTGTGGTGTAAAACTATTTGTGCGTTTTTGTTTGTTTGTTTTATCCCCTCCAGATGACAGAAATGAGTCCGGCTGTGAGGTTATCGTTGCTTGGCCTCCTCTTGTGCCCGCAGCTCGGTCTGGCTCCAGCTCGCAGCCCCCGCACGGTGGACCAGGTGTCTGAGGCCGACATCCAGCGGCTCCTACACGGCGTCATGGAGCAGCTGGGTATCGCCAGGCCCAGGGTGGAGTATCCTGCACATCAGGCCACCAACATCGTCGGGCCTCAGAGTATACAGGGTAGGATGTGTGTCTGGGCCTTGGATTCAAATGGCTTTGAGTAGTTTAGTGTTTTATACCTTATATCTGTGCAATGAGTCTGAATCTTCAAGATGTCCAGGTAAATATTAGTACTCGGAAAAAAAAAAACCAAGTCTTGTATTTAGAAATTTGCAGACTTATAAATCATTTAATGTCCTAAACTCATCTGCTTGACACAATATAAACAATAAAGAATACATCAAGAATATAAGTCTAAGAAAGCTTGAGATGATATAGAAGTCTCTGCTGAAACAGTTTTCAAGCGTTTATTGTGAAAGTATCCATCAGCGCTTGAGTGTGATTACTACCCTTTGAGTGATGATGCTGTATCAGTGCTGACTGCACTGCTTGTTTTCTCACACAAGGTGGTGCTCATGAGGGGCTGCAGCACCTTGGCCCCTTTGGAAACATTCCCAACATTGTGGCAGAGCTGACAGGCGATAACGTTCCCAAAGACTTTAGCGATGACCATGGATATCCGGACCCTCCAAACCCCTGTCCCCTTGGAAAAACTGGTAGAGACTCTTGTCCAAAACATATTAAAATAATAATTTGTTCTGATAAAAATGTGATGTAAATGCTGTTGTGTTGCCATTTCTTTCATCTCTTACTGTGCTTTAAGATGCCTTAAGCAAGAACAATTGCTGAAGTATTTTAGCACACCTGAGGAAAAGTTAAGATGACTTACTTCTTTATTTCTTACACACTCTGTCTGTGTGTCCTTATGTTCACAGCAGCAGATGGCTGCTTGGAAAATGCTCCAGACACGGCAGAGTTCAGCAGAGAGTTCCAGAAACACCAGCACTTGTTTGACCCTGAGCATGACTACCCAGCTTTGGCTAAGTGGGTGAGTACAGAGTTAAACAGTGGAATAATTATTATTTTTAGATTATGAAGTCATTTTTAGGATAATCTCTTCATGCAATCTTGTTTTGTATTAACTCCTAATGATTTTATATCTAAATAACTTAATTAATGCAGATTTGATATGATGATGCTTATTAAAGGTTGAGTCACAGACACACTTCATATTTGAAATGATTTATTTGAGAGGTCAGAGCAGGAAATAGATAGAGAGGCCTCAGGCTGGAATCAAACCTGGGCATAATCTCTATACATCCTTTTAAACAAGATCTACCTACCTGATGAAGGTCTAGAATCTAAACACTGCATGAAAATATCTGTTATTGACAGTTAGACAGTTGGGGAATCACAGTTTTTGGACTGTCTTGCCTCTCTCTTTCTCTCTCTCTCTCTCTCTCTCTCTCTCTCTATCTTTCTCTATCTCTCTAATGCACCTGCCCTTTAAAAATCAAAGTGTTTTCCACTTTTAATCAAAACTCAATAAAATGGGTGGAAATGCTTCTAATCAAGCTGTGTCTGAAAGAAAGTACATCTACTGCATGAACAGGATTTAACTGCAAGATTCAGGCAGCACACTTTAACGCTGGCAGTTTCTTTTACTTGAAATGTTTATTCTAAGATGTTTCAGAGGCAAACAGTATACTTTTTATTCCCCAAAATATGTCTGACAGTTTTTCAGGTTTCATAGTAAATTTAAAAAATTTGAATTAAAGACTGAGCTCTGTTTATTCAAACAGACTCAGTTTAAATGTGTTAGATGAAGATTATGATTGGAGCTGTAAATTCTTCCTCTGTCATCTTTTCTTTCTTTGGCTTTTGAGAACAAGTGCTCACAGCCTAATTCTCACAGAAACATCACGAAGGTCACGAGTTTTCCCATTTAGAGGATGAAACCAAACTTTTCTGCTGGTTTGGTTTAGCCTGAAAATTGAGCCCTTAGAGTAATTTTTTATAGTCGAAATAGCGCAAGGCAGCAGATTTTTCACTTTTCATTTCAAAACAAAGCAAAGGCTGCATGATTTAGTGCCTGAGAATTTTTTCTTTTTGTTTTCTTTCAGAACAAGGAACTTTTGTACCAAAAACTGAAGGGAGGACCCAAAAGAAGAAAAAGGGTAAATTGTTTTTCTTCTTCCTTTTTCTGTATTATTGTCCATATTGTCCATCATTTATGTCTGAAGGGGGCGGTGACTCTTAAACTAAATGCTTTCATGGAACTTTTTATGTGTGGGGATAAATCTTGACCGGCAATTGTCAGACATTGAATCTTGGAGGACATGTTTACAAATTGTATTTTTCTCTACCTCCCTGCAGAGCGTTAACCCGTACTTGATGGGCCAGAAGCTGGAAAACGTGGTCGCCAAGAAGTCTGTTCCTCACTTCTTTGATGAAGAAGACAACTCGGCACCGACGGCCAAATCCACAACCTAAACACTCAGTGTAATATTTGAGATCACTCTCAGAATCAAGTTTTTATGACTAAATATTTCAGCATTTTGTTTGGTAAATAATGGGACAGGGAGTTTAAAAATCAAGAAATAGTGATAGTCATCACAAAGATGATGTACAGCTGAGATTTTGTTTAGTATTTGGTGGTATTCCTTTAAAAAAACACCAAAAAGTCTAAGTCATGGATACAACCTTCTAAAAAAAAAAGTGCAAAAACTCCACGGTTTTGGTTAGACTTTTGGATCAAGATCTCTTTTGCTTTTTTGATATTTAAGAATGAACCTGAAAAGGCAAACTATTCAGTTAGGAAGTCAAAGGATACAGACCTTTCAAATATCTATAATACATAAATTTTAACTTTAACAGCAAACATAAAGTACCCCTCAAGGACAAAAAACCACTTATTTATCAGACACAGAGGTGATTCTTAGACAGTTTTCAGGCATCACCACAAAATGCTCAAATAGAACATGCTGAAAACTTGATTAACAGTGTGCACCATAACTGTAACTGTATTATAATGAGAAGCTGTACAAAGATGTAATGATTTAAGGGAAAGTTATTATATTCATGACTGTACAGAAAGAGTAACTCACTGAAGTTTATTTTTTGTCTCAATATGACAGTTTATACCCTCAGACTGAACACAGCTCACGATCTTTTAAGTACATTTGAAACTGTTGTAGCTTTGTGTTGTCATTTCAAATGAATGCCAGTGAGCTTTATTTACATGGTATGGCACATATATTATAAATCTGTTCTCTTCACTGTACTGCAGAGACTTAGTGATTCAGTGTTGGGTCATTTCTTCTTCACATACATGTTTGTGTTTTTGTTCTGTAAAGTCAAATAAAAGATTTATCTGCAATGACAAAGTCTGGAGATGGAATTTCTTCCCTTTTTTTTCAGCGAGATAAAGAGGATTAGAGTTTTCAGGGGGCGTGTTCAGCTGAAACTCAGTTTAGAAAAGTCCTGTCTCTGTTAGTCATGAAGCCACAACTGAAGACGCAGGGACAGAGAACGCAAGTGACCAAAACTGACTAGACTGAAAGTATTATTAGAGTCTGCACACCCACAGGTAACTTTAAATACAATTTTATGTTTCATCAAAAAGTTGTGATATGAATGTAAAAATTAAACTTTTAATGCGTAAAACGTGCGTAAAGTTGTGCGTAACAGTGTCTTCATCAAGCGGCTAATTTTGTGTCTTTCCCTCCGAATCCAGCGATGAAGACTCCATCAGCCCTGATCTCTGCAGCAGTTTTGTCGCTGTTCCTCAGTCCACCGTGGAGTACAGATGCAGCCACCTATCAGGGCGCCTTCCCACACCCAAACAAATACAACCCAAATGACTCAGACAGATGCCAAACACCAGCCATCGGTGGATTAATTTCTCAAGTACCAGGGCCGGTAACTTCAACCGATGAGGTCCTGGAGTCCAGCCAGGAAGCGCTGCACGTGACGGAGCGGCGGTACCTGCGTCTGGATTGGTGCAAGACGCAGCCGCTGAAGCAGACCATTGCAGAGGAGGGCTGCCTAAGCCGGACCATCATCAACCGCTTCTGCTACGGGCAGTGCAATTCCTTCTACATCCCGAGACACAACTACCAAGACGGGGACGCCTTTCAGTCCTGCTCTGCCTGCAAACCCAAAACTTTCAGCACTGTCACTTACACCCTTTTCTGTCCGGGTCAGACACCCAGCACCAGAAAGAAAAGGGTGCAGCGCGTGAAGCAGTGCCGCTGCACGACGATAGACACGGACTAGACTCAGATCAGAACATCTCAGCTCGATCATATCTTCGCAGTTTGCTGGATGTGTGCAGCTTTGTCATAGAATTCATGGATTTAAAGAGCATTGTCCTCAAGGGACACGTGAACTTACCTGAGCATTTGGGAGCAGCAATTTAGTTCATATCTTGCTGATAGAAGAGAAACACAAGTTCTAGATTCGGACTCCAAGACAAGTCTTACGTTAACTACGGAGTCCCTGAAGCGGTTCTCACTTTAAGCGCTCAGAAATAAGCTTGTGTGCACAAATCTTGAGAAAAAAGTTCCAAAACTTGATAATTTGTCGGACGAAGTTCTCCCAGAAAATGCTCGAGTTTACAACATGATGATCTTGCAGGAATAAGTGACTACAGCTTCCCTTTAGAAGAGATTATATCGTGCACATAAGATAACTAAATTATGTGAGTGAGCTGTTACCTTGCGGGGAAATTATCTTGTGCACACGATTTAATCATCATGTGGGTACAAATTGTTATTTTGGACACAATAGTTTCTAGTTCCTTCAAGATATTATTGCAGGCACATGTCATTGACTACAATTTCAGGGAACAAGACAACTAGATATTGTAGTGATTATTGTAAGATACCTAGTGCAAACAAAATAATTACTTGTCTCCGCAACCAAAACGTTGTAAAATTATCTTGTATGCACATGGTAGAAATTTCACTTTTTGGACTTTAGGGGCTCTGTAGTTGTTAAAAAAATGATTTCTGATGTTTGATGGACTTAAGTGTAGAAGAGCTTCAGGTATTTTGGTTTGTAGAGATTCATCAGGTGTGCAGCATTTTTAATAAGTTTGTAAAGAGCCTGATGTTTGTACTGTTTCCACTGTGTGGGATGTAAAGCTGAGATTTGTTGTAATATAGACTTTTATGTTCTAACCTGCACAGCTCTATGCCACTTCATCTTACTGTATATTGAAATGTCTTTTACTGTAAAGATGCTTGTAAATAAAAGAGTTGCCAAACTTTGAAATCACTCATTTTCTGATTGTTGATTTTATTTCTTGTAAAAATATTGAAAAGATTAAACATGTTCAAATCAATGCAAAATGTGGGAGATGATTCTATCCTAATCTTTACAGGGTGAGCTTTATTTCATGTCTACATATTGTACAAACTTTTTAAGTAGAATACTTTTTTGAGGAGGTAAAATATATCACAGAAAGCTGTGGGCTTATGGAGAACAGAAGTGCATTGGTGTTAAAAATATAAAATACAAACATAAACTTAAACTTTTGTTTGGTATCAGGGTCCACATCCAGGCTGATCCAGTGACAGCAGATATTTTACATTTCCTGGTTCTCTTAGTTTGAGGAGAAGCTGGCTTCTTTCTGTCGCAGTCGCTCTTTCTGTTTGGTTTAAAAAGAGAGCAGAATTACTAAGCAGAAAACACAACAAACTTTATACTGAATTTAATCAAAATCTGGTTTTAGTAGGACACAGACCAAATCTTGAAGAGGACTTATGTGCTCATTTTAGTCTCCATGTTGTCCTGATAGCTTGTTGATATCTTTACATATGTTACAGCTTAAAAAAATCTTTGTCAGGCTGGTGTCCTTAAAACCTTCATTTCAGCCTCCATATACAACCCTAGACACTCCAGAGTCAACACTCTGGAAGCCTCCTCCACTGTTGCCATGCTATAAAGCTGTTGGTATGAAATGAAACCCTGTTTCTGTGTTGGAAAATATCAAACTATGAAATATGTTTAGGTCTCAAAACTGAACTGGCGAGTTTGGAAAATGATTTAAAAACGCCTTTTTAAGAAAACTGACCAGTTGGTGATGTCACAAATTGGGCACAAAGTGGACCTTGTTGGGTTCTCATACAACTTTTTGGAAGATTTTTATACATACTGACTGCTGAAATTCAATTCTTCAATTCATTAGGCAAGCTGAGTCTTACCAGGCTGTTGGGGTTGATCCTTCTGGTCTCCACCTTCTTCTCTGACGTGATCCTCTTCACAGACAGCTGAGCCTCTTTTAACCTGAAAAAAAAAGATACCTTTTGGTTCAATGGTTGGTTTGATTTTTGCCATAAATATTATGTGAAAAAGTGTCTGTCTAACTACCCCAAGTGCAGAGACTCTAGTCCTTGTCACAATGGTCGCTGGTACCATTTCCAGCCTTAACCCTTTACTGCATGTCCCCCCACCCTTTCCTGTCTCTCTTCAGCTGTCCTCTCTAGTAAACAAGATTTGATGTGTTAAAAATTCATCTGATACCTCTCTTTGGAAATGTTTTTGTTCTCCCTCTTCCATCTGGCTTTGAAGTCGGCACAGAACTCAAACCAGAGCATGAAGAAATGACCCGTGGTCACCTCCTTCTCTCCTGTTTTGGGCTTCAGTTCAAAGTACAGAACCATGTCTTGAAAACTGAACAGATATATAAAAAAGTGAGGATTATAGAACACAGCAGACCAAAATGATGGTTACTATTTGACTGTCTGCAAAAGTTTGATATTGTTTCATCCTTAATCATTTACAGACATTTCCTGCCTGCATCAGTTGTCAAATCTGACTTGATTAAATTGAGCATTTTATTTGCCTGCTCCGGCTGAAACTGAAGCTTATAATGAAGCTAAATAAAAAAATAATGATCATGTATACAACACAATTGTATTGATTACAGATTTTCAGACCTTTTCCGGACAGTCATGAGTTGATAGGAAGCTTCTCCGTGTTCTTTTCGAGCTGTAAAGAAACACAGAAATGGTTCAGTCATGGCCAGAGCCCCCTCCATAAAACAGAATATACCACACATCTAAAGCTCCTCTATCATTTATTGTATTTTGTTTTTCTTTAGTTGCTCAGCTGACTCTCGTAACAGTTTAATGCATTAAAAATAACAAGATACAAATGATCAGTCTTGTCCCTGATGGTCTTCTTTGCTTTTGGATTTCATGTAAAGGCATTAATATAAACTGCGGTGTGTTTCATAAACATCAAAAACTCCTTATTGGGACTTTAATTACCTCTGTGTAGATTCTGTTAATAAATCCATTGATAGAAATAACACATTTTAACTCTGCCTGTTGACACTGTGGTAAAAATGTCAGTTTCTATCTCAGGCTGACCTTAAGAGTCAGGAGATAAAGACGGTTAGCAGGTACAGATGTGAGAGCAGCCTGAGGAGCTGCTAGACCTGATCTGTAAAAGAGAAATCGGAGCAAGATCCTGTCCTGCAATCCATGCAACAGCAGGTATTTTCCTCATAAATACAATTAGATTTTTTTTATTTCTGTTTTAACATTTCGGTTTTCCATGCTAACTTTACATGATCAAAATTACAACTAGCAGGTCTTTAAGGACTTCAAACTCCTGTAAGACACAGAGGCTTGAGTCTTTGTGTGAAGTGTTGATGAGTTTGTAATTTTGAATTCTCGTTAATGATTATCCCGTCTGTTTCAGAACAGAGCTGAGCTAAATTAAAATCTGACAAGCTGAAACGCCCCGGTCAAAGAGATGGTTTTCTCTCAGGCAGGAGTCTCTCAGCCGCAACAAAATCTGTCTGATCTTTATCTGAGCGTCTCGCTTTTACTGTGATCCAACTCCCACACACATCCACACAATAACAAAGACACTCCAGAGAGGTAGAATGAAGCAGACAGTTTTTCTGACTGTCACCACGTTAAACTGCATAAATGTCAGTTCCTGAGAAACTCCAATTACACCTAATGTCATGTTTTGTTATCCTAGTTTTTTAATTTTCTCAAACTTTAGACATGGGTAAAAACTCAGGCTTTGAACAGCTTGATAACAGACTCACCACTGAGAACAAAAGCCTCCATCTTGTCTTTAAACGGCTGCAGGTGTTCTTCAGGAGAATCAGAGCAAACTCTCTGCAGATCTTTCTCACATCCTGAAGGGGGGAAACAAAGTCCAGAGTGAAGTTTTCAGAGTCAGTGATAATTCAGGGTAGTTGGTCCACTGTGTTTTATAAAGTCCAGAATCAACACAATCTCAAGTCTACCTGCTGAGAAGCTTTATTGAGACACTAACAGGAGGACATGGCACCTGCCAACAGCGCCAAAACCACCAGAAACCGGTTTGCTTACTACAGTTTTACTGTGCTTGCCTGACCTGAACCTCATGGAGGATCTCTGGAGTATCATCAATAGAAACATAAGACTCCAGAGCAACAATACAGATGAAGGAAGCTATCAAAGACACCTGGGCTTCATGACACCCCAGCATGCATTGATGCAGTAATTTGTGCAAAAGGCGCCCTAAACAAGTACTGAGAGCATAAATGAACAGAATTTTCTGCAATAATGTAGTCAGACTATAAACCCCATTTAGGATAGGATAGGATTATCTTTGGTAACATTTTAATATTTTGAGATTGTGGATTTTTGATGATCATGAGTTGTAAGCTGCACCCATGTGGAATAATGATGAATTACCTCTTAAAGTTGCAAACTCTGCAGTGAGGGTTAGGTTAGGATCAGGGCATAAATCCCTGTCTGAGCTTTAATGTTGCAGCTTCAGCCTTTAACTCCAACCTGGAGTCTGGAAACACTAACAGAGACAGAGAGGAGAGTGTTCTGGTTTAAACTAGCTCCACCTGTGCCCAAGTAGGAGGTTATCAGCCCAACTTCCCCTTCAGATATCACTTTTAGAGATTCATCCAGAGATGGCGACGACAAACTCCCCCTCTCTCTCTATTCCTCTGCCAGTCTGCGGCTCTGTGTGGCTCTGCGTCCAATCAGTGGATCAGAGGAGCCAGTCTGCACAGCCAGTCATAATAGAGGCTGCAGAAGGAGCCGAGCCACGTCCCTCCATCACCCCCCTCCAAACCCGACGCTCGATCAACATCTCCCAGATAAGATTACAAAAGAATACTGTTTTCATTCAGGATTTGTGTAAACTGTAGAGGCGGGTATCTCTCTCTGTATTGTGTGGGGAGCCTTTCTTTCTTTTGTCTGTCTTTTGTGTATGACTGAAGTTTGCTTATTCCAGACCCAGGAGGGTTGCAGACCTCCACATAAACAGAGCAGAGGGATGAGGAGTGCGGTACCCTCAGATCAGAGTGGTTTGGTTTCTCATTTGGGGATAAATGTATTCTTAAAGAGATTTAGGAGGTCTGATGATGACATGTTTGGATCGCACGCTTTATAAATCAGCAATACCTCCGTCAGATCCAACAAGGATGTTAATCTATCAAATAGGACACAATAAATAAGTTGAAGGAAACTCCAAATTTTTCTCTAGTAAATATCACAAATGCAAAAGGAAGCTCTGTTAAGCTAATTATCCTGGTTTAAAAAATAGTTTGGGTGGACAACCCAAAGTCCAAAAGAGTTGGGATGCTGTCTAAAAATGTTGACAAAAACAAGTTTTAATGGTTTGCAAATTCTACTTTCGGAAGACTTCATTATTTATGAAATAAATGATTTCCAAACAGAATGTCCAATTTGAACTCTTCAGACCACAGGGCAGTTTCCCACTTTACTACAGTTCATCTTAAACATTCTCAGGCCCAGAGAAGTGGCCAGTACCATGGACCATGTTTTCATATTGTTTCCTCTTTGAATTGTATAGTTTTAACTGACATTTGTGGATGTAGCAACAAAATGTGTTTACAGATGTGATTTTCAGTCCATGCAGTGATTTCCACTACAGAGTCATGCTGGTTTTCCCTGCAGTGCTACCTGAGAGCCTGAAGATCACAGCTATACAGTCTTGGTTTTGGGCCATGTTCTTTTTGTGCAGAAGTTTCTCCAGATTATCTTAACCTGTTAATTACATTTGTACTATAGATGATGAAATCCTCCATTCTTTGCAAATTTACAATAAGAAATGTTTTTTTTTAAACATGTTGCTGGTATCACATTTAGTGACGATTCAAGTCTTAATATTTGATATTTTGCACATTGTTAAAGTAAAGAAAAGGTTAAAATGATTCTCAAACCATCAAATTCTGTTTTATTAACATTTCCGCATAATGTGTTCATAAATGATGTATCCTGCTAGGGCTAGGCGATATGGGAGAAAGTTTATCACAATATATTTTTTCATATCTGTGGATATCGATTTATGTCACAATATAAAAAAAATCACTTGTTAATCTTAAATGTTCCCTGTTACTCTTAAATGAAATTTAACAGTGCTTATTGGTAGTGTGTCTTTTGCAATCGAATCAGCTACTGCATCTGTGAGGTCTTTGTGTCTCTTCAACGTTTGTCATAAGGCATTGTGCTAGAGAAAGTGGACTGAATGGTCGGCTGTTTTGGCTGCAGAAGCGCCATGGGCTCCTTACTCCACTTAGGGTTTGTAAACTTTTGCATTGCGCGTGCTCTGCCGCATGGCACTAGCCTGGCTGAGCCATCCTGTTGCGTGAGTCACTTGACGTTCCTTCCCACCACAGTCTGGACTTCGGCCCATAGAGAGCGTGTATGCCCGATCAGAAAATAACCGGGCCAATCAGATACCGTGTTTCCACTGTTACCCGGACAACAGGGAAAGGCAGCCCCTGATTGGTCCATGTACTAATGTAACCAATCACCGTAACCAAGCATCTGTGATGATGTCAGATGCTTGGTTACGGTGATTGGTTACAGGAGTCTGTCTATCAAGGAAAGTACTCCCACCCACTTTCAGGGCTTCCAATGGGCCGAAGTCCAGACTGTTGTGGGAAGGAACGTCAAGTGACTCATGCAACAGGATGGCCCAGCCAGGCTAGCATGGCACTGCTTCAGGTGGTGAAAAAGAGTTGAGGTATTCCCGACTTTGACATAATTTGCAGTGAATATTACTCTGCTTCATGTCCAATCTCAAAAGGTAAAAAAAATCCTCCACACCACCGACGTTTTCGTGCCAGTGTTGTCGACAATGTCATCATCTGTTGAGCCTTCATCTGCATTTCTGCTGGGGGTAGCACTCATTTTCTTTTTTTCTTACCAACAGTGCTGTCAGCGTAAGGTGTTAAATTGCTATGATTGCGTGTAGCTGCAGCCTGCTACTACACAGTTGGTTGCTACTTGGTTCTAATTCAGCACATAATTGGTTCAGTGTGAAGCAGACCTGGAGCAACTCCCCTTTTCATTGGCTATTCGTATAGTCTACCAAAACATGGCAGAATGCCGATTATTGAAAAGCATATTGACCATGTTTTATATGGATATTGAGGGAAATTATATTTCGATAATATCGTTATCTTTTTATCGCCCAGCCCTATATCCTGCCAACAAAATTATGATTATTTTGTCTTAAATTCACTACAAATGAAGTGTGTTGGGATTCATTTTTGTGTGCGACTCCCTTTTTTTGTGGCTGACTTTAAGCCAGTTCATGACAACATAAAAAAAAACATGATTTTAATCGAGGAAAAGCTCACAGGACAGAAGAAGTCTTTTCAATGTGAAATAGCTCTGCGATCTCGTTTCCTTCAACAGTCAGCATGGATGACTGGAGAGAAAATAATCTGTCTTTAAGTGTGTTGGGAAACATTTCATACCGACCAAACAGAAAACTCAGGGAGAGTGAAGAGCGACAGGAGCAGAGCTTCAAACCAGGCATGAGGGCACAACAAAAGGACTCCACGACGGGCGATCCAGATTGCACGGTGGTTTGAGTAGACGGGTTGATAAGACAAAGTTGTGTTGAGAGGTAAAGAAAGCCATCTGTGGCACACATCTGGGGGCCACACTGGAGCCCAGGTGATAGGGTCGGGCAGGTTAGAGATCTGTGCATCTCTGCAAAGGCCCGTGCAGATACACCCCAGATACTGGAGGTCTGGAGATTACATAAGTGGGAAGCTACGGTCTCCCTGTGCTGGCGACAGGGGCACAAAGGCACAACGATGGGAGATCTGATGGGCGGGAGGATTAGAAGCTGGATCTGAAAGGCGCCAGCCCAGTATCAGCGGCAAGACTCTGCCAGTCTCTGAATACATGTACATGCAGCACAGGCAGAAACACATGTATACATGGACAAACAACAATGTACTCGCCCTCACAGTCGTACACATGTACGAGTGAGCATTGTTTCCAATATGACTGGCATGCTGAATGGCGTCACATGTGCTCATTTAAAGAAGGAAGAGAAAAGTCTAAGAAAGAGGAGAGGAAATCTTTTGTTCTGAGGCTTTGGTGAACTTGGGCTTGGTCAAAGAACCAGCCTTGAGCTCTAAATATAAACAGTTGGCTGGGGCCAGTGATGGGAAACCAGGACGGTGAGATGTGAAAAAGGGAGGGAGAGGAGCGTCTGAGGCAAAACGATGCCAGACTGGGCTGAGGTTTTGTCTGAGAATCAGAGTGATAGAGTTACACAGACTGCCTGAGGTTTGAAAAAAAAATAAACACAACAAAATGACCACAAGATGGAAATATTCCGGTCAGACAGTCACATTGATGCTCAGCGTCTGACTGCATGCAACCATCCAGATGAGTGATCAGTTTTCTTAGGGAGGAGTTGGATTGGGGAAAGGCAGCAGCAGTGAAATCACGTACTTGTCAGGTCTCGTCCTAGCAGTCTCAGGTCTCTGTCCAGGTCATCAAAGTTGACCTGCGCTGCCAGGAAGACATCCTGGGGTTCAGGAAGAGGGAACATGCTCTTGTCTGTGCCGGCGTTCTGGTGGTAAATATAACAAAAACAGAGATATCATACATCTCTGTTGATCCAGGGGATCAGAAATGTATCTGCTGACATGAAAATGATGTCAGTTTGCATGAAGAGTTAGTGTGCGACTCTTCCTCTGACTTTGTTAACTCAGGTTTACATTTGATAACAAGTCTGTAATGAACACATTTCACATTTATCTGATTCGTACAGAGTCGAGCGTTAAAAAAACAAAAACAACTTTGAGTAACTATGAGCATTTTTACACTCATACCTTGTCTACATTGTGCAGGTAGTACGACACCACATAGTCCACCAAGCTGATACGATTATCCTGAGGAGGAATTAAGACAGCTGCATCAGTGAAATAGAAAACCCTCAGCATGTGGATCACTCTCTCTCCTGCCTCATTTCTTCATTTATTTATTTATTTATTATGGTTGCTGGTTTGACACCTGGTAAGGAGTCTTGGATGCATGCCTGTCTATGTAAGCAGAATCCAACAGAAAAAATCAAACATCTATTTCAGTTTTCATTCACTATGTCACACCGCACAAGATAAAAAGATCGATTTGTGGAGCCAACAGGTCCTGATGACCTACATCTGCTGGATCAGGCTATGACTGTGGGACTTTGACATGCGAGAACTACGATTCCTCTGAGTAAATTCTGGTGGTGGACTGAAGCCCACTGACAGGCTGCCTCCTCATAGAGCTACGACAGTCTTTTCAGGGTTATCAGAGCCTCACCCTGCTCTTCACATCCTTCAGTTTGGGAAGAATCTCCAGCCCAAATCCGTCAGCTTGACCTCTGACCCTGCTGCCTCCGTTCATGTGGTTTCCCAGAGCCAGCACCAGACCGACCACTCTCTTTACACTATCACTCTCCAGTAAAGCCTTCATCACGCACAAGACACAGAGAATTAAAAGGTCATTTAAAGGTCAAGTAGAGACAAGTGACACCTAAGTTACATACACATATAAACAGCAGAGATACGTATCTTACCTGACAGACAGAGGAGAGGGTGTTCAGCTTGCGTTGAATTGAAGCGATCCCGTCGATGAAAGCTGACTGGAAGATGATGCAGTGAGCTCGGCCGGCAAAATCTGGGATCTGAGACAGCTCATACAGGAACCTGCAGCACAAACAGGTCAGCAATAAGATTACAAAAAGTGATGATGATGATGATGTACACACAGTGAAGTCTGAAGATGTGAGTCAGCAGCTGAGATACAGACTGTTCAGGTTTGTCCAGCAGTTTGACCTCCTCTTCCTCGGATGTCTCATAATGCTTTTGGATCCTCTCCAGCTCCTCTGGCTGCGCTCTCTTAAAAAGTGACATTAAATTAATCATTAATTACATTAATGCATAAAAAGTTCATAACTGTGAAATTACACATGAAGGTAAGCCTTAGTTCATCGTGCTGTAATACTTACATTTTCATAGAGTGCTTCAATAGTTTCCAAGTCGACGACTGAGTGATCAACAGTCAGTATTGCTGTAAAAAGGAATGCATACATTACAGACACATAAAATAACAAACAAGAACTATGTTAAAATTTGTAAAACTATCAAACAGCAGGTGTTATAGTCCCTTGTGATTCCACAAAAGCGAAGAGGCCAAACAGAGCACTGCAGATCTCCCTCCCTTTGGAAGACAAAGTTGAATGTGTGCAAAGATTTTAAGAGTTAGGGATGAGCCAAAGAGATCGCTTCTTTTTGATTGTCTTTCCATGTTTTAGTGAGTCTTTCAGCATTTTATCCTTAAATTCACAGAAGCCCAAATCAGGGTGAAACTCTGTACTTAAGTGTGATGCTGAGGTTAAAGTGGGTGAGCTGTGGTTACCTACATGTTAAAGGTACATTCCGGCGTAAATTTAACATATGGTCAAACACATCTTAAAACCAAGTTAGACACCCCCTTGAGAGATAAATGTTGCTGACCGCTTGCTTCTCTAGTTATACCAACTTCAGCAACGACCACAGCCCTGGTGAGTTGATCACAAAGTGGAGCGGAAAAATTTATGATTATTACTTGGAAATGGAAATGAAATCAGATTGAGACACTAAGGCAGAAGAACTACCGCGTCTGCAGTGCAAAATGATTATTATGATGATGATTACTTCATGGAAATGATTGCATTTCCATGAAGTAATCATCATAAATTTTCCGCTGCACTTGGTGATCAACTTGTCAGGGCTCCCACACAAACAAGCTGCTGCTGGAGGAGAGTGGGTGAGTTGTGTTTGGTCTCTTTGCTAAAGAAATCAGGCAAAGTTAAAAAGATGTTTGATGGCTAGTACTATGGCTGGGGCCCTATAGGGAACCGAAGCCACGCCCACTTCCGCGTTAGCGCTATAGGTCCTATTGGGATAATAGGAGTGAATGGACAGGTCTATGGTATTTTCTGGTCCGCTTTGTTTTACACCCTGAGTCACAAATATGTTGTATTTTAACTTAAATGATAACCATTAAGGTAAATAAAGGCTATGTTTGTTGTGTAATTGTTGATCTATTTGTCTTTGAAAACACGTAAATGGAGAGACTACAGACCGCAAGAAGTCGCGTAAATGACGTAGCGCCCCCTTGTAGAGCTTGTCCCGCATGCTGGCTCTCACTCGACCAACTATCTCTCCGCCGGCGTAACTCCCACTCTCAACATGACCCGACTTGTAGTGGTTTTCACCACGTTTAATACTCTTTCCTTCATCCTGGAAGAAGGACGTGAAACTTGCCAAAGTCACCGCCATCGTCGTCTGTCAAAGCTTAGACAGTGACGCAAAAATAGTGCGACGAGCGGTGTAGTTCATTACGTGGTCTCACTCTAAATTAAACTGTAGTTATAGCAACATGTCTAAAATCACGGCTTTTTCGAGGTTAAAATGTAAATTTAAACATGATAAACATTATATGTGAAATGTGTAGGGGCTTTGGTTCCCTATACAAAAGCGGACCAGTAGTTATATATATCTGTCCATTCATTTTGATGGGCTCCATAGGACCGTATGCTAACCCGGAAGTTAGCATGACTTCGGTTCCCTATATGTACTGTTGATGAAGTTAGGTGCTGTTCTGAGCATTATTTGTGGCTATAGAGTGGCTATTTGGTTGAGGTTTGTGCATGGAGACGTATACCTCTGTGTATTGCAAATGTGCGGTCGTTACTTAAGTTGGTATAACAAGAGAAGCAAGCAGTCGACAACATTCATCTCTCAAGGGGGTGTCTAACTCAGTGTTACAGTGTGTTTGACCATGGGCTCTATTTTGGTGCCACGCCGGAGACGTGCCGCAAGCGCAGCGTCAGTCAGATCCGCCGCGCTGACAAGGCGTTCCCAAGCACATTTTGGTATTTTGGTGAGCCGCGCAGCCCGGCGTAAGTATCCCCCCTCCCTAACTCAGCTCCTCCCAGCGCCATAAGTCGTAGACGGGGAGGAGAAAGGGCGTGTAGTTGGTTTAACACAGCCGAGACCTGTTTTCACCAATCACATACGCTCCTCTCCTTGCCTTTAAATCCGCCACAGGCGAGGCGTATTACTATTTTCATGGAGTAGTCAAAGATATCAAGAGATGTCTTAAGACAGTAATGCCACAAGATGGCGACAGAGGGCAGCTCCTCAACAAGTGTCCTCCACACTCTCTCATATGAGCACAGATGGATTTAGTGTGCGTAATGTTGGACCCACTGGTAAGACAAACACCCGTTTTCACAAATAAAGACACTCACATAAAGTTGCTCATATTCAAACCTCACGTGACAAAGGTGGGTTGAGCGCACAGATCACAACATAAACTCCAAAAATGGCATTAAAATCGGAACCATCTGTGCGTAAATGACGCATCGCGCTCCGTGGCCTGGCTCTTTCTTTCATAGATGTTGGCATATAAAATAAATTTGGCTCACAAAACTGAATATTATAATATCCGTATGTCGGCTTAAAGTAGATAACGCATCTGAGCACTGAAACAAATCATCTGTTCAGCTGCAGCAGCAGCAAGACGGACAGAGGACACGGAGACGTGTCCAGGTCGAGCTGTGCGAGAAATAAGAGGAAGAGGAAGAAAGAAAAGGAGGGAGACGAATTACATATCTTGTTAACTTCATCATGTGTGTCTATTTACTAGATATTTAATTTAATTTGATGCGGTTTCAGCTGTGTTGATTCGGTCAGGTTGTGTGTCCAAACGCGTGCCAAACGCGCTCATCAGATCAGATATAGATCAGAATATATCGATATAGATCTAAATGTCTGTGCTGACTCAGATTAATAGTTGATGATGATTATTTATTGCACTGAAATGTGCCTGACACTGTGGAAACCTGCCGGTGAGGCATCAGTGACATATGTCGATACGCCGCCGGTCTACCAAAATACAACAAGACCAGCTGCGTTCCGCCTTGCGCTGAAAGCTGACCAGGTTTGAATCGGCGAGCTTTCAGCGCACTTTACACGCCGTTGGCGAGCACGAAAATGTCACTGCGCCAGCTGATTCTGTCGACACCTCCCCCTGCCACGCCACCACGCCCAGCTTGGCGGATCTCGGCTCGCCTCCGTGCGGCTCATGCCATGAAAATACCAAACTGGCCTTACGCTGGGCTCCGCCAGACGAAGATACAACTGCGCGGGGCTCGCCGCCCTCCGCCGCCTCACCGGCGAAAATAGAGCCCCATGACTTAAATTTATGCCGGAATATCCTTTAAACAGATGAAACTGCAGATTATTTAGACTGGCAGGAAAAATCACTGGATGGCCCAGCCAGGCTAAGAAAAATCTGCTGTTTAGATAATGAACTTTAAAGACTGTTACAATGTTTGCCTGGAGACTCTCTGTGGTTTAAAAGGTGATTCAAATAAACAAAATCCTGGGTTACATCAGTATAATTTTTCAGAACTTTTTTATATGTGAGTGTAGAAATACTGTGAGTAAAACTCAAAGTTGAAATTTCACCTGAATGTCTCTGGTGTGATCAGAGCACTTTAAAAGAATGAATCACTGCAGCTGTTCCAAGTTTTTAAAAAAATTAAGGAACTTCAGTGGAGACATTAACTCAGACTCGAGCTGTTTCTACCATCAGGCTCTCAAACTCACCCTGTTGGATGTCTTTCATCTCCAGGTGGAGGCTCGATATGAGGATGCCCACAGCCTGAGAGCGCTTACCGTCCAGCAGCTTAATGATCTGACACACACACACACACACACACACACACACACACACACACACACACACACACACACACACACACACACACACACACACACACACACACACACACACACACACACACACACACACACACACACACAAAATAACAAAGACAAACACAGTTACCATGACTACCTTACCTCTAGAAACAATTAGAGGAGAACAACTGTGCTGTTGTAATTCTCATGTTTGCACCAGAGTCCATTTAGTTAGATCACTCAAAGCTCAATGTCCTCATAATTAATTGAAGTGAATCAATTCAACACAAATGATTTTCTTTCAATCTGATTCATTTTTGGCAGTGAAATGAGCTTCTCACTGTCAACTCAATGACAAATACCCCCTCTAGTGGACAAAATAAGTACTGCAAAAAAAAAAATCCTCAAAAGCATTTGAATAAAGGTAACTGTGTGTGTGTGTGTGTGTGTGTGTGTGTGTGTGTGTGTGTGTGTGTGTGTGTGTTACCTTTCTGGGTTTAGCTTTCTTCTCAAAAGTCTCAGACAGCGGCTTCCTCTTGGGCTGTGTGGTGGCTTTGGCAAAGAGATCCTCAAACTCGCTGGTGTTGATTATATTTGGCTCTTCTAGATCATTCCACAGTGTGTTGTTACTGCAGAGAAGAGAAACACAGACTGACTCACAAAAGGGCCACACAAAGTGTCTCTGTGCACCTGTGTTGTTTGCATACATTTAAATGGGATATTATACATCAGTCTGGAGCAAAATACACTCCTGTCTGTGCTAAGGAGCCTTGTTGCAACCAACACCTGATTCTCAAACATTGGTGCTGACAAGGAGTAAAGTCTCTACTGTCAGCTGAGACCATGTGGTACCATGTGGCTCAAACTCATCAACCGTCAACACATTAATTCCAACTCAGAAAGACTAAACAGTAATATCTCTGAACATAAAGTCTGTTATTATTCAAATCACTAGTGTTACACTAATTAGGGGTTAAACCAGTACAAACAGGCTGTACCATTACATACCATAGAAATTGTTTGCTTATTCATCTTAAAGGGTTGTTTTTTACTCGATAACACTAGAAAATAAGCTGGGTATAAACTGTGAAATTTTTGTCACATCTTGCAAATCAACTTCAAAATCAACAGGTAAGAACTTTCCTCCCACACAGCACATTATATGTAGACAGAAATTTACAATGTCAGGATGAAGGTGCACAGTGCAGCTATGAGCTATATCCACCAATGCCAATAATAAACATTATAAACATTTACAGGCTAAACATATTTATTTTTAATTGTGCGCCTCTGTTCTAAATCTGAACAATATTTCTTTTATCAGGATATAAGAAAATGTAAAACAAATGAGCAGAAACGACTGAATCTTCCGAAATTTGTGCCTTAAAAATACGATTTTTCTCTTGAATTTCTTGGAATTCTACTATTGCAAGGATTTACTGCACATTCTGGACTTCTTGGCTGCAGTGACAACAGGCAGAACCTACAAATTTGAAGGTTTTGTCCATGAATACTTTGTACAGGTTGTCTTTGAATCTGATTTTAATGGCAGTGCTTGACTTTGTTTGGTAACCTACTTGTTGTCCTTGATCTGGATTCTGGTCCAGTAAAGAGGCCTCATGGGTCGGGAGGGCTCCACTGCCTGTTTTCTGGGAGGTTTATCGACTGTGGGCCCTCCACCGAGAGGAGGTGGTGGAGGGGGGGGCAAGCCTGGCATGGATGGAGGGGGAGGAGGAGGAGGAGGAAGAGGAACATTTGATGGCTGCATGTTGTTTAGAGGTGAAGACAAACATGGAGGAGGAGGAGGAGGAGGAGGGGGAGGCAGACTGTCCGCTTTGGTTGGTGGTTTTGTCTGAGAGGGAGTGGGGAGGTGTTCTGATTGAGGTAGTGTGGCTCCAGGAGGAAGAGGAGGAGCAGGAGGAGGAGGAGGAGAAAGATGGGTAAGATGGTCCTGTGATGAAGGAGACAAAGTTTCATCCCTCTTCCCAGCCAGGCTGAGACTGATAGAAGCCAGGTCCAGTTTTTTGGGGGTCACCCTAAGCTGCTGGGGGCTGGAGCAGACTCTCACTATCTCTCCTTCCTCAGAAGTCTTCACAAACGTCTCTCTATCTGTCTGGATGCAGACTGTGCGGAAAGATTTGTGGATGAAATCATCTCCTGTTGAAACGGCCACGTCTCTGAGTTCACCACGACAGCGAGTCCCGACCTGAGCGAGTTCAGCCTGCAGCTCAGACAGACTGAACTCCAGATGAGCCACTTTCTCATCATGCTCCTCCTTCAGCCTCCAAAGTTCCTGACCAAAGCCCTCCTGAAAATAATGTCAGATTCAATCTTATGATGGATTTAGACGATAAAAGTCAAACTGATAAACTGCATTTAAAGCACAATTTGTGTTTTTTATTAATAGATTTGCAATGATTTTAAAGATTTTTTTAAGTTACAGTGCGTAAGAACTGTCACATTTTGCAATAGTTAAAGGGATATTCCCTTTAAGATTCCAGGTTTAAACGCTCCCTTACTCACCCCTCCTGTGCTTTCAAAGTTCAAATAGGTTGATTTAGGGATAAGTGAGTATGGCTTTCTACCCCATTTTGAGCCTGAGGGCTAATATGGGGATGACTTTTTAAAGCTTGATACTTTGTAAGAACTTAACGCAAGAAAGTGAAGCCTAATATTTAGTTTTATGTTCTGCTGTGCGCCATGTGCTGCTGTGCGTCTGGTTTTCTCATACTGACCTGCAGCTTTTCCAGCTCCTCTTTACATTCTCTCTTCAGCTGCAGCAGAGCAGCCTGGTGCTCTGACAGGAGAAAGGAAGACATAGAGAAAAACATTATACCTTAAAAGGCAACTTTTCTTCTCAATTACTTATCAAGTTATATGCATATTTTGCCACTATAGTGGAATGAAAAGTGTTTGAGGATGTTGTGACGTTGCACAACAGTTCAAATTTGACCACAAGGTGGCAGCAGAGGCTCAAATACACAGCCGGTGACACACACACGGCTGACTATGGCATCCTGGACAGACTACATGAGCAAATATTGACCTTCTGATAGACGGCTTAACGTACTCAGTGGTCAGCTGGAAGTTTATCATGGTTTTCACCTGACTGTATGTACCGGAGGTGATTTCTCAGGGAGAGGGGTGTGTTCACATGGATCACACGGTATTACTCCTGCTCAAACAACCTTACATAATCCTAAAACACGACAGGCTCATTCTCACATACAGATGGATGATTATTTCAAATACTGAGAAATCATCTATTTAAATACAAAACAAGACACGCTGTATGAATATCAAGAAGTTGGGATATTGGAGGTTTCTTGGTGGTGACTTTTTTTTCTTTTAAACCTCCTTTGTGCCATTTTTGGCGCCCCCAAGTGGACAAACAAGTCTTATCTTGATCTCTACATACTATGAGTCATATTTATGATTTAGGTGATCTTTAATAGTGATGTGTCGGTTGCTGACGACCCGTTTTAAGAGCCAGCTCTTTAACGTGAACGATGGGAGCCGGCTCCCATCTGTGAACCCCCCCAATGGACCGTAGAAAAAACTACAAGGCAGAATGACGAGATTTCTATCTGCTGTGTGTAGCAGAGTGGTTCTACAAGCAAGTCAGTGCATTCGTTGGGTGGTTTCAGCGAGTTATATGGGTCTGTAAATGTAATGAAAACAATTGGATACAACAATTTACTGATATTAGAAAATGTAATTATTACTTGTGAATACTTCAGTACAAAGGATGTATTGAATTATTTGAGAGGTATGTGTACACATATGGACATATAAGCCAAACATCGCTAAATTTGGCTGAATTAGCAAATGTATAAGTGAGCTGAGCCGAATGATCTGGCTCACTAAAAAGAGACGTAATTCCCATCACTAATATTTAATGCAGTGAATATAGAGATACAACTTTTCTTTATAGACTTGGCTGACACCTTTCCACCAAAACCAGTTTCAGGCATTAACAATGGCAGCATGAAACCATTAAGCCTTGTCTTGCCTGCTCTTGTAAGTATGTAATTTGAGTCTATTTCATGAATGTCATTAAACCCCTCACTGGGTAAACTGGGTAAATTCTGTGTGGCCAACGTATGAAGTATGCCCAAGTTTATTTTTTAAAACTTTTTAGCACATTTGACACAGAAAGATTGTAAAAAAAAAAAAAATTAATAAAAGTGAAAAAAAAAAAAAACAGAAAGTATAACTTTAAAAAGAATGGGCACTCTTGGATTTAAATAAAAATCTCTCTATTGACAATATAAGTCTGTGTCACATGATTCTCCCGTGTGCAGACGCCTCCAGACTGTGGACACACTCAGGGTGGAGTCCTGTTTACTGTGGCAGTGGAGCTTGATTATACTGTTCATCCATCTCATGATATCACAGAACAAACACTAAAACTCCCTCTGCAGCTACGTCTAAAATCAACATCTGTCACACCTGACTCTGAATGTTCAGGGCTGTTATAGATGTAAAAAAAATCTAGATTCTGAGTAAAGACTCCAATTTGCATAAAAAAGTCATAATTTCTATGTTAAAGTTATACTTTAACATGAAGTCCATAGATAACTGAACACTCAATCTTTTATCACTGTACTGCACCATGCTGTCATACTTGATGGTGTTATGAATAGACAGTCTGAGAAACTGAGTGTGGCTGATGGTGTACGCTTCTGTAACCGCTGTTTGTCCTCAGCTGGTGAGTTTCACTCTGTGGTTTACTTCACAGGATCAACAGTATTTCTCATTTAAGTGCAGGCGGAAACCTTGTTCTCTTGTGTACCCATGTAACTTATTTCACATCAAGTTGATCAAAAGTCATCTTTTGAAAAAGATTACTTCATCCCTGTGAACAATCGGTTTTATTCTCGCCTTGAATCGAGTAAATTTGTGACTTTATTCTTTGAAAGTCTATTGTTTTTATTCCACTTATGTCTCTGTTTGGTCATTTTGATCAAAGGTCAAAGGTCAAATGAGGTAAAGCACTTGTCTGAATTATTTGTTCTCATTTTGGATTGTACTTGAGCTAATATTACAATTTTTCTTGCTATTCTTTAACATATGGCCGAAGAGTCTGTGGGACCCCAAACAATGAGGCAGGGACAGTAAATCTGAACCCAAATTAAGGATTATATATTTATGGTTAAAGTTCTGAATAAATGTGTTATATGTTTGTTAAGTACCTGCTTCTGTATATTTCAGCCCAATTTTTTCCTCCTTGAGCGGCGGCCAGACAGCTTGGAGACGACCAGGAGTTCGCTCTTCACCATCTCCTTGGAGAGGTGCTTCAGACTGGAAGAAATAGAGTTTGAAAACAGATTAAATACACATTAAATATAGAGTTTGTGGATTATTCTATACAGGATGTTGTTCCAATCTCAGCTCTTTTGAGAGTTTATCTTCATAAATAACGAGTTTGACCTTTGTTTCGTACTTTGCTATCAGGTGGGTCTGTCTTCTCCTGCATCTTACTGGGGGATCTCTCAAAAAGTGCCTTCAGCACATCTCGATCTGCTTTCATCCTCTTCCTCATGGCCTCCAGGTCTGCTGGATCCTTCTTCAGAGGCTTTGGGGTGAAAAAAGCTTTAAAGGCATCAAACGCCGCCTCTGCACTGGACACTGTTGGGGATTTTGGGGATTCAAGCATCACCTCTGCGTCCTCCTCTGCTTCCAGCTCCTTCCTCTCCCTTTCCTGAACTTCTTCATTCTTCTCCCTGGCGTCAACCTTGTCTCCTTCTTCCTTCTTCTCCTCTTTGTCATCCCCTCTCTTCTCCCGGCTCAGGAACTGGGAGATCTGGTCCAAGAAGCTGCCTTGAACTTTAGCGTCGAGTCCCTGCTTCTCCCCGAAAATCTCTCTCCTCGTTCCTTCAGAGGAACATCTGATGTGAGCTACAGTGTCGTGTGCCGGCCCGACCACGCCTTTCCTCAGGACCCTCAGGCCGCTGAAGAGAGCAGGAAGCTGGATCTGCTTGTCAGTGGAGGAGCTGGGAGAGAAGGTGGCTCTGGTGATGGTGGATCCAGGAGGTGGGTTTTTGGACATGGCTTCTGATGTTGGGAGGGGAGCTTGATAAGGGCTGGAGAGGTAGTTTGGTTGAGCAGGAAAATCTGGGCATAAATCTCTTTTCTCATCTTGTTCCACTTCTTCCTCGTCATCTTTGTCTTTTTCTTCCTCCACAGACTCCTCCATGGTTGATGTTTCTTTTGCTTCTACTTGGTCCATATCTGCTGATTCAGTGCGAGTCACTGTGATCACTACACGCTTGGCAGGACAAGTCTGACTTTTCCCAGGATCTTCATCCCAATCGAGAGAACTTGTCAAAAATTCCTCCTGGGTTTCACTGTCACCATCTTTTTCTTCATTCTGGTTGTCATCTTCATGTTCGTCTTTGTTGACACTGATTGGCGCATGCAAATCACAACCTGCACTTGTGTTGTCAGTTGAAATAAGTTGACATTTTGGTTGCAGAGATTCCCCAGATGCTTGTTCCTCCAGTGATATCTTACAGCCCTTGTTTGCTGTGTCACTGTCTCCATTTGGCTGCTGTTTCTGGTCTTGATTTGAAGCCAAGACCTGATTCTCTGCATCGACAGCCTTGTTTCTCAGGTTGAATAGATTCCTCTCCTCCTCCGTCATGTCAAAGTCATTCTCTCTTTCTTTTGCAGCTTTAGAATTATAGCTTATCATCTCACCTTCACGCGGCAATATGACATACCCGAAGTTTTCCTCGCTGCTCTCGAGTGCATCTTCAAAGTTTGCGTCCACATTTCTCTTTTTGTAAAAAATCAGCTCTGGGTTTCCTTGTATAAAGTGTTCATTTTCATCCTCTTTAAAGGCTCTGAAAAATTTCAGGATGCTTTGTTCCTCCATTTTTTAAGGACTTGTTGCTAAGAAAGTAAAAGTTCTCCAGAAAAAAAAAAGTTCTTGGAAGTCTTTCCACCAATGTCAATAAAGTGGTTGCAAATAATACTGCTTGAATCTGTTACAGAAGTGCGACATTTTACTAGCTTTTGTTTAAATCACACATTTGGGGGGGTGTAAATTGTGTTTCAGGATCTGTAAGACATGCAGGAAAGTCATGAAGAGATTCAAAGATCATGCAACTTGAGACTTCATGCAAGAAATGTTTCCTGAGATAGAGTAACTTCTGAAAGTCCGACCTGTTTCTGATCCAGTTTGCAGAAAAGAAAAAGATGTACCCTTTCACTGCTAAAACAGCTCTGTCATGACTAAAAGGAGAGCTAAATTTCCAAACCTAACACCAGCAGCAGCAGTTAGTCACTCAGAGTGGCCAATAACAGCAGAGAAATCCACAGAGGAATGGAAAAGTGTACGTTTCCCAGCTCCAGGCTCCATGACTCAGCTCCACCGCACTTTAAAGTCACATCCACGTCTGAGCTTTCCCTCCTCGGCTCTGCCTCCTTTCTCCTACAGCTCCTTTCCTCTCTCTGCAGGAGTTTACACAGGCTTCCTACAGACCGTCACAGTGTAATTGGGAGCAGATGGTGTCCTCAGCCTCCGATCCCGACAACACCCTGACAGATCTGTGAGCCATAAGGCGAAGGAAAGCCACTTGCAGCAGATGGAGGGAGGGAGGGAAGGAGACCGCACCCAGAGGTGGAGGAGGGTAAACAGGGCTGGCAGGGATCACTGGTTAAACGTTTGGTCTGTAAATCCACAGTGACAAGGAGGAGGTCTCTGTGCCCCACTGTAGGCACAGAGCGACACACGGCTAATCTGAGAGTCTTAGAGGGTTCAACTCCAACTCCACTGTGCTGCAGCTCCAACATACACAGATGACACACTAATAATCAACTTTAGTATATTCTGTCAAACAAACCTGCCGCACACGGTCCTTCAATCTTAAAAAGTGTGATGAAGATGAGGGCAAAATTACTGAAGTACTATTTAAAGGGAAAAACAATCAAACAGAGACTCCCAGAAAGTTATCAGTTCAGAAAAACTTCAATAAAAATGTTAATGTAAAATCAAAGTATAATTTTTGTCCTTATAAAGGGAGTGATAAAACTAAGACTGAATGTTTTGAATGTAGACAGAGCAGAAAAAATAAAATCTACATGGTAACCATAACAACCAGACTGAACACAATTGTCATCATCAGCATCTTTGCCTATACTGTATCATAATATTGATTTTATTAAATATTTTGATAATTTCACAACCCTTATTCTAAAGAGATTGACAAATTGGATTGTTTGTAAATCATTTAAAACCTTTATTTTTATTAAGAATCAACATGTCAACACATCAAAGTTTTCTAAAACATTCCTTAGATGAATGTTTTAAAAATGTATAATAAGACTCCAACCCATTTTTGTTGTTCTTCATTGTCAGGCTGCACGCTTGTTCACTTTGATGTATCATTACTACAACATATAAGATCATATAAGGTTATCATTAAAACTGTATGTCATCAGACTGTGTAACTTTATTGTACTCAAACACATGCCTGTAACCTGCAGCCTGCTGTCTGAACCGGTCACTCTTAATCTTCTGGTTCTTAAAACAGAGCTTTTACATTCCTGTGAAGGGACACTGAGACCTTTATGTGTGCTGCTGTGTTTATGTAATGGGAGTGAATCCAGATAATCCCATGAAAAAGCCTCAGAATAAGAGCAAGCACATCAATGTACACACTGGGACAAAAACACTGGGAGGTACCCAGCATAACAACGGAAATACAGACAGCAACATGTACAGTAGAGTGCAAATCAACATAATTACAGTGTAAATGTATCATAATAAGCAAGTATCATATAGTTAACTACAGTTATTTTAGAAGCTAGCCTGTTGAGAGACTATTTGGCAACTCTACAAAAAGCCTCCTCAAAAATAAAAGAGCCTCTCACCCGTTAACTTAAATCTCATATAGGGCTGCATGACTGATCAATTTTGAATAGTAATCAGATTATTTGATTATGACGATGTTAAAAAAATTAAAATCGTCAAAATGATTTTCCTTTCTATCATGTCTCGCGCCTCTAGGCCACCGTAGGCCCCTTCCCTTCCTGCAGGAGTGCTCCCCAGTTCCCACACACACCAGTGTAAACAAACATGGCATTTGCAGTAGAAGGCGATAATATCATGGCTAAAAGGGGCAAAAGCAAGTTAGTCGTGTGGAGTTGGTACGGCCTCACATTTTCGGATGAAGAGCAAACCACTCCCTGCTGCAAAGTCTGTCTGAAGGCGGTATCAACCCGCCCACACAGAAACAAATTCAGGAGTAAACGCCAAAGTTTTTTGTCATATCGATGTTTCATCCGCATGGAAATGGCGTTTTGTGTGACTGTCAACGGTACTTTTTTGAAAACGAGTCACTGAGTGCATAAATCCGTAAACAACTTACATTTCATTTCCATGTGGATGTCTATCTGCATCTCTCTTGAAACAATGTCACAAACAGTTTAACTCTTTTATGGCACCTGGGCGTGTCCAGCCAAAACAACCTTACGCACACTCTGTACTCTTCTTCTGTCTTTTGTGCATTTCCTCAGCAGCGTTAAAGCGCCACCTACTGGCTTGGCATATGCACAACATTATTTTCAGTGGTTTCAATTTGAGTGGTGATAGAAAAACTTATTAAAGTGAAGTTTGGTGAAGTTGTCACTGAATAAAAGATTTCAGAGAAAAAAAGTGGGATTGTATTTTTGGCCAAAATTGTGCATATCTCATAATCTCAAAATATCATAATTGAAAAAAAAAACTTGCGCAAAACTGGTTCAAAAGGCCTTTGAGGGATCCTCTTACTCATAGTGTCTTTCAGGGGTCGGTTACGGGCCCACTCTTATTCTCCTCTCTATATGTTGTTCCTTGAGTCTATGAGCTTTATTTTCGTGCTTCGCCAGAGACATGGCGCAGGCGCGGCGTAAGTCCGGTCCGCCGCGCTGACAAGGCATTCCCAAGCACAATTTGGTATTTTGGTGAGCGGTGCTGCCCAGCGTAAGTATCCCTCCTCCCTATCTCAGCTCCTCCCAGCGATGTAAGTCGTAGTAAGGGAGGAGAGAGGGCGTAGGGTGGGTTTAACACAGCCGGGACCTGTATTGGCCAATAACATCAGCTCCTCTCCACGCCTTTAAATCCACCACTGGTGAGGTGTAATACAATTTTCTTGCAGTAGTCAGAGAGATCAAGAGATTTCTGAAGACAGCAATGCCACACGATGGCAACAGAAGGCAGCCCCTCAACAAGTGTCACTGTAAGCGCTGCAGAGGGCGTCTTGCACACTGTTTCATATAAGCACAGAGGGGTTTGGTGTGTAAGGTTGTACCCACTGGTAAGACAAACACCCCTTTCCACAAATAAAGACTCACATAAAGTTGCACATATTCAAACCTCACGTGACAAAGGTGGGTTGTGCGCACAGATCACAACATAAATTCCAATAATGGCATTAAAATCGCAACCACCTGTGCACATCGAGCTCCGTGGACTGGCTCTTTCTTTCATAGATGTTGGCATATAAAATAAATTTGGCTCACAAAACTGAATATTATAATATTCGTATGTGGGCCTGACTCCGGATTGAATATTTACAGAATCTTAATCATGTGAGGAAATCAGATAAACAGGTAATTTTGAATGAAAGGTAACATATGTTTAATACGCCGCCGGTCTACCAAAATACTACTAGACCAGCTGCGCTCCACCTGCACTGAAAGCTGACCAGGTTTGAATCGGCGAGCTTTACACACCACCGGAGAGCACGAAAATGTCACTGCGGCAGCTGATTTTGTCGACACCTCTCTCTGTCACGCCACCATGCCCAGCTTGGCGGACCTTGGTGCGCCTCAGTCCACGAAAATACCAAACTGGCTGTACGCTGGGCTCCGCCAGATGAAAATACCACTGCGCGGGGTCCGCCACCCTTCGCCTATGTCTTTTTACTGCTTTGCTGATGATATTCATATTTATTTCTCCCTTGAGATTTCAGAGTAAGAGGTCACTGTATATTCTGTCAGTTTCTATTCTGTTCTTCTAAGACTAATCTATCAATTTTAATCTATACATTTACATCAATCCTTAGATTTTATATCTATTGTGTTTAATTTCTAAACACTTAAAATGTTTCTGTTTTATTTTTCTTTTAAACACTTGCTTAATTTAGTAACACTTTGGGTACTATCTATAATAGTTACCCTTCAAGAAAAGGTGTAAATGAATATTATTTGTTTGACATCTGTGTCCAGAATGAAATCTCCACGTTTGTATGTTCTTGAAGAGAAATGTGGAGCTTAAGAGCTTTAAACCACAGTAAACAACAAGTGTATTCTTATACCTTTGCTTATACAATACACCTACATTCAGTCCTTTCTATTACGCAACCACAATGGACCCTTTGTCACACATCAACATCTGAGGTCATTGGTTGAACCTGCATGAACAGGAGAGAGAAGCTGTGGCCTTTAAGAGCTACAGACTTCACTGTGCTGTGTAAATGTAGGTTAACATCATGATGATGCAGCACTATTGACACAATTACTTTATGCATGCAGCCACAGGTGGTTAAATATTATTTGTATTTCTCTCTCTCTGAAAGACAGCCTTATTGAAAAAATACAGTAACACAAACAAAAGTGCAGCTAAGAAAAGTTCAGACCTACGATCGCCTGACTGTCCTTGTTGAGCTTGAGAAATGTTTAACATTTAAGTGGGGAAGAGCAAATTTTGTTTTGCTAGATGTCTGTCATATCAGCTTTTTTAAGTCAAATCATGCACGAGTCGTGTCTTATACATATAACGGATGAAGTTTCCAGCTAAAAGGAGTCTGTCTCTACTTTAGTTTATGGCATCAATGTTTCTTATGATGGGCATAGCTCAGTAAAAAAGGTACCAGAGAAGAGAATCAGAATAAAATGAAAAGATCTGGCTAAATATGCTGGATTCTTAAAAGTTGATATAAAGAACAAGTTAATGCTGTGACTTCAAGTTACATTGATTTATTTATGATTGAGTTTTAACCACTGATCCTATTTGTAACACTGCCATAACAAACAGATATGTTAAAAGGAATTATCAAAAAGGAGAATACAAAACAAAAAATTACCACTGTTACTATTATCAATACAATTCCCATAAAACAAGTTTCCTGCTAGGACGGTGACTGGAGGTTCAAGCTATGTTCCTATCAGGGGGGTGAAGCCTTTAAAGTACCCAGCTTTTGCAGAACTTGGCTGTGGTGCCCTGCAGAGGCTGGTCAAATGAAATTTAGCTGAGCTTTTGGAGACCTGCATGTTTACATCACTAAACTGACAATGACATCACTTAGTAACAAGGGCCAACTGGCTAACCAGCTTGCACTGGATAAGTGGGGCTGCAAAGGGTACACCTGACGCAGCTTTCGCTGTCTGGGAAAAGTAGGACTGATTAGTTGGCTGCTCTTTGAGGATCCTCTGGACCGGGGCAGTCTTTGACACACTGTTGTGATGAATCTGGTTTTCTAACTCAATCTTGAAAGCTGCAGCCCCTGAATTTGGACACAGCTTCTAGGTGAATACCCCCTTATGTATTAATTCGACTCAGACACTTGGACGAAAGTTTAGTCGTCCACAGCTTGAAATTTAAGATAAGGCTGCCTGCATCAGCAGTAACACAGCTGCACTTTTACCAGTTTTTAGTGATGCTTAAAGAGATATTCTGGCATAAATTTATATTGGTCAAACACATTGTGACACAGAGTTAGACACCTCCCTTGAGAGATGAATGTTGCCTACTGCTTGCTTCTCTAGTTATATCAACTTCAGCAACGACCGCAACAATCGCACGTGTCTAACTCAGTGTTATGGTGTGTTTGACCATAACTGAAATTTACGCCAGAATATCCCTTTAAGTCTTGTTTGTGTCATAGATCCAGTCACACTAACATTTTTGTGCAAGTTTTATCTGTAGACTGGCATATGAATTCTGAGGTGGATTAACTATTAATACACGTGTCATGTGAGGTCATTTGATAACTCATGTGACCTGCTACACGTCACATGACGTAAGTGCAAGATAATAAAAAGGATTATTAAAGACAACAAAGATAAAACTTCACCCAAAACAAAAACAAAGTGATGACTCAGCAAAGGATGTGGTGCAGTAACAATGACAATGCTTAACCTCTCTAAACAACATAGCTTTAGTGTTTGTGATGACAGTTCCTCCACTATCAAAGAGTGAGGCCCCTGCATCAGATCTTTTAGCCACTCACCTGAAACTCCGGTAGAGGTGTGGTTGTTGGAGTATCGATGATGTCATCTTCAGGGGGAGTGATGCGTAGGAAGTCGATGTGTTTGGGTCTGGAGGGGTGAGAGAGCGAGCTGCAGAACGACAGAGACTCCTCCACCTCCTGCTGCCAGAGCTCCTCCTGCCTCTGCAAGGCCTCATCTGGAGAAAACAGTCAGACAGAAAGCGGCTATTATCACTGAGGGAAGCTTACACTGCAGAGGAATGAACATCAGAGTTTCTTCCAGAGCAGAAACTTCCCAGAATTATCTTCTGTACATCTGATTGTGACAGTAACATGATTTTAATACCAAATAGGAACAGAAATATAAAATATGAGAATGCAGGAATGATTTCCACAGTAAACATTCACTATCATTAAAGCGCTCTACGTGATGTTGTTCACAGGTGTAATCTTAAGACAACTGGGTGCTTCATAAATCATCACAGAGATCTTTAACAGAATCCTCCAGCCCTGCAGCAAAGCCTCTATGTTGTGCTCTGGTGTCACCATGAGGAAATAATGCAGAACTTCAGCAAAATATGACTAATGAAAAAGAGGATAAGAAAACCATTACCATGAAAGAACTACCAATGATCAAACACTGAGGGTCTACTTCCTTAATTGCGTTAAAGAAAAATCATTTTCTATTAGCCTTGGTGACAGGGTTTTCATTATCCCTGTTGGGGTTCAGTTTCACATAACCACTAACTAATTATCCCCTCTCTAGGGTCAGAGTGAGATGAGGACATTTACAGCACAGACACCAGGCTTTTTTGCATTTCTCATAGTAATATATCATAGTAAGTGAAAAATCATAAATTATATCATATATACATATATAATACAGTTCTTGTACTGTACATCTTACCGTTTGAAAGAAAAATTACATTATTTTTTACTTACACAACCCTTATTCTGAGTTTTTCCTTGTTAAAAATGAATGTGGAAAGTCTCTTCCTTTAGTCTGCATAAACTTTATACACTTTTTCATTGTGTTGCTGATGGCTCCATTTCCTTTGTAGGCCATTAAAAGGCATCACTATCAATTTTAATGTGTTTCACAACCAACTATAAACTCCTTACAAAGACTTACAATTTGCAATCTTTGCTCTGCAGAGCTAAAACACAGCAAATGCGATCTGAAGAGTAAAATAGACACAACAAGTAGAGTTTGCAGCCTAACTCCTTTTAAGATGTTCTCATTAATGCATTACTATCACTGCATGAAAAACCTAATCAACGACCAGCATATCCCGAGAATTTCTTTGATTAGCGGCACTTAACAACCAGTTAATGGGAAACTTAGCCGTTTCAGTCAGTCCAGTAATTCTCATGTTACTGTTTTTTCTTTTAGTTTTTGTACAGAAACTAAATGAAAAAAACAGTAACATGAGATTTCTTGTGCTGGTAGACTATTTGTTCATGTGACAGCTTTTGTAGTGTTGAAAAAAAATGCATGGTGTGAATTTGCTAGGTGTTTTGATTTTCTACTTTTGCACTTGCATATTTTATAAAATGTAAACTTCTTTAAACTGTTTGAAATCATCAAAAACCAAAAATAAAAAAAACTTACTTTGGTGTGTTCCATTTTCATTCCTACTTAATTAATATGCAGTGGACTTCTGGAATTTTGCAAGCTAATCACACAATCATTTTTTATCTGTTGTGGCAAAATATTAAAAAAAAAAAAATCTGTGACGGTATAAAATCACCATAGAAAAAAAAAAGACATCTGTAGGCATAAACACAAAGAGGAAGAGGAAGCATTGGATCGGTGAGTCTTCCATCTCCAGATTTTTTTTTTTTTGGTATTTTTTTTTAAACAATGCGTTTCCATCGTTTCAGTTTTGCTGGATTATTCCGTTTTGGAGGTCTATTTTTGGGCCTCTGTGGTTGGATGGGGGCCACTATCTTCGGATCTTTACCCTCTACTTTAAACAGAACTCAGACACTGAAAAGGGAACTGAACTCTTTGGAGGACAATTCTCTTGGTTTTGATTTCTTTTGGGCCAAATCTACTAAGTTTGTGTTGGGATTTTTGCTAGGATGACAAGATTTGTGTTGAGTTTTAGTTAGGGCTAGAAAGATGTATGTGTTTTGATTTTTGGGATATGAATTAAAACCCATGCATATACGTAGAGATCTTCTCTGTGGTGATCTTTATATTGACAATTTGTGACTGGTTAAGGGAGTTTCCAGGGTTTTCTTTTCTTTTCAAATCAATTTGCTGCTTTAGTAAGTATCCAATCAAAAATAAAATCATAATTTACAGTGGCTTCAGTCCCATGATTATTGCTAAGCTTCAAATAAAATCAGCTGATTATTATAGCTTGACCTTGAAGAGAGGACTGTTTTCTTTTATTTCTAAAGTCTTTTATTACACAAGAGAAGCTCTTTACAGCTGATCCATATAATTTCAGATGGGGAAACAAACATTGATGTTTGTGCAACTTTGAGCAGGCCCATCCACCTCCTCAAAGCCAGATTATTCAGCCTATGGAAATGTGTTATCTGTCCTCGCTTTGACCACAGTGAGTTCGACTCAGGTTTAGACAGTTCCCCTCAGAGGGCTTTGATTGTCTTTGTTGCTCTCGCTCTAATCATCATCCTCTGAAGATGTGTTAAATTCACAGAGCACAAAGCCTTAATCCTATTTGAGACAGTGAGGGGTCTCGCAACATGGCCTGGTTGAGCTTTCCACTCCTGAAAAATGAGGAGGAGACGTCAGACTCTGCTCTGATCTCACTGAATGGAGAACTCAGAGAATTATTTGTTTTTAAAGATGTGGCAAACAGTCCTTTTTTCAGATATCACCGAGGCTTTAAGAGCTTTTCTGATCACAAAGCTGATTTGACTACATGTTAAATCAGATCAAACTAGTGTCATACATGAACACTCAGTACATTTACATGACACTCAAGAAAAATGAATTATTGCCTTACTCCGATTAAGACTAGGACAACTGAAGTGCATGTAAACACCTTAGTTCAACTATAATGGGAGTTTGAGAACTCCTATTGGAGTCGGAGAACTTCGGTTAAGACACCTAGATAATGCTATTGGAATTTCAATTTTCTCTACCATGTAACCAGTGTAGTCGAAGTATGATCAGACAATGCATGTGCATGTGCACCACGCCTCTGTAGCCCTGAAACAAAAACACCAGTGAAGAAGTGGCACTATCATTTAAAGAACTTTTGACTCAGAAGAAACTGCAACATGGCTGAAGCATGAAAGAATGTCCACTTTTGGAACAACGAGGACAGTGCCGTTATGCTTTCCGTCCTGACAGAAATTGACATTTTAAAGTATATGGATGGTCGAAAAACGAGGAACGGAGACATCTTTAAAAAAGCTCCGGAAACAGCGCCTCTGAAAAGACCCATATCGTCCCCTAGTTTTGGGGAGGAGGACACATCCACGTCAATAATTCGATTTTCTCAGCTGCATGTATCCGCAGACAAGGAGAGAAGTCCAATTCAGCAAAAAAAAAAAAAGAAAAACGAATTATGAGCTTAGTACATTTAAAACAGACATGACTCTGTAGTAGGGGTGGGAATCACCACTGGCCCCACGATATGATTTTATCACGATACTTGGGCCACAATACGATATATTTGTGGTTTTTAACATTTTGCAATACAGTGAGTATTGTAATACAATATATTGCGATTTATACAATTTTTTTCAACTGTTAGCCAATTTAGCATTTGTCTTTCCTTTATGTTTGTCTTATTTACACTGTATTTTATTTTCATGTAGCACATCTTGCAAACCTTATGTGTCATGTCCATCTCATTTGTGCCCTGCTTGCATTCCTAATGTCCCTCCCCAGGTTCTGCCATATTTGTTGCACAAACTTTGATCTATGAACTCTGCTCTATGATGTCACTTCTGCCAAACTCACTGAGCAAACAATTGATTTAATTTTTCCATTATCATAGATTTGACTTCATATTAGCAATTAAAGGTGGGGAAGGCAGGATTCCGTAAAAGAAGCATCTTTTTTTGTTGTGTATATACAAAAAAGCTTTTAATATCAGCCAATAGCTATTAGCTATTAATGACATTTGGTAATATAATGATATCACTGTGTTTTGTAATGTCTGTGCAGTCAACATTTTACATTTTTGAGCAGCCCACTCTTTCTGACTGTAAACAAAGCCATTCTCCGCCTCCCCCAACCTGATTGGTCGAGAGGCGGACGCTGCTCCTTAGCGCTGATTGGTTGTGAGGCATGCTCCACGTCCTTGTATAACGTTCACAAGACAGACAGTAAAAAGCAACAAAGAAAAGTAAAAGTAAAAAGCAAAGAAAGTAGAGCTAAGAGCTAAAAAGCCGGGTCGATAATGGACACTTCGGGATCTTACAGACCCAGTAACCTTTCTCCTGGACAGGTAAACCGCTTAAATGAAGTAAGCCAAGTGTCTGTAATATAAGTGTTTCTTGCCAAACGGGACCTGCTGCGTGTTGTAGAGCTGCTAAACTGTTTAGCTTGGGTCCTGGAGTGTCACTTTATGCTAGTTGTAGAAGTCCTGCAAACATTGTGTTTGCTAGTAGTCTGTTGGCGTCTACAGTAGTTTTTACTTTCATGTTGACTGGGCCCCATTTGTAATCATCTGAAGAATTTATCTGCATTATATCCGAATTTAACTGAAAAAATACAAGTGAGCAGGAGCGTCTGTTTGTAGGCGGGGCTTGCTGGAGCAGAGAGGGAGGAGAGAGGAGGAGCTGAGGGGAAAACTGGTTGGGAGGCGTAGTGTTTACATTCAAACAAATACAGTTTACATACAAACTGGCACTTCCTCAGATCCTGCCTACCCCACCTTTAATTTGAAAAAAATGATACTTGGTAAATGAGACTATTATGACATATCACCAGACAAAATATTACAATACTATGCTGTATTGATTCTTTTCTTCCACCCCTACTCTGTAGTGGAAGTCATTGCATCACCTTCTTTTGGTCCCATGGGTGTATGCATACACACTCAGACACATATGCAGACTGAGTTCCTGCTCTATAAAAGAAACTCTGGCTGTTTCAGGTCAGTGCCTATCCAGCACTTTGTGGGTATCAACATCAGGTGCTCTGTAGTAATTCACGCCTGAGAGAACACAAACACTCAAACACACACTCACATGACCACAAACACAGACGTACACACTCTGAGGCATGCACACAAACATAGATGCGGTGGTATGTCAAACCGGCAAGGGGTCATTATTTACAGACTATCACACAACCTTTAGGTATGCTTAAACAGCTGGGGTCTGAAGTGTGTGTGCCTGTGTGAGAGAGAGTAAGACTGGAGCGAGGGATGAGACCAGACACCAGCAGGCAGAGTTCAGGGCAGTAAAAACAGAGCGTCTTAATCAATGTGTAAATCTGACAGTCAGGACTCAGCATGTATCATCTTTAAAGCCAACTGCTCTCCCTGTTCTCTTCACTTCAGTGACCAACCAGACAAAGTCAATGTCATACTGCTGTGCACACACATTCACACACAATCCCCTTCACTCATGACGATGGCTAAAGTCTCTCTTGTTAGCAGTTTTCCTACACCGTCTATAACACACTGACTGAAACACATATGACACAGGCAGGAGAAGTATCTGCCATGGAGCCCTGCAAATTTACAATCACAGCCTGACCCCTAATACCCTGTTCGTCTTTGTACAGAGTGCAAGCAAATCCACGTCACCATTTTTGATTATCATGTTTGCAAAGTTGAGCTGGATCAAAAGCAATGAAATCTATCAAATTTCAATGATGGAGTTTTTAATTGTACTATGCTGTAATAATGCTCACAAACAACTATATAAGCCTGTGACTGTCTGTGGATGGGTTCAAAATGGTAGGACTGGACTGCACTATCCTGATTGAGAAATGTCTTTTTTCTCTTTGAACTTAGTTTTTTTGTATGCAAGCCCAGCTAACACTCTAGTGTTATTATTATGATTGTAATTATTCTTATTATTATCAACATTGTTATTAGTTAGGGTATCTGTATCAGTTTAGCTCAGTTTACTGAATGTATGATCAAATTTGATACAATAAAATTTGATACTATTACTGTATATGATACAAGGCCATACAATACTATTTGACATGACTGGACTGGACACAAAAGAGTATGACACAGCTTGTTGTGAAACATTATGATTCTATACACTACCATGTGATATAGTGCGATACAACATGGTCTGATAGACACAATATTATATGATCTGAAATGTTATGATGTAATACCATAGGGTACAATACAACACAATACCATGTAACTCCATGTGTTACTCCACAATACTATAGGATACAACAGCTACAATATGATGCCGTACAATTGGGATACAATAATCTACTATTTACCAGGATATAACAGGATTCAATATGATGCAGTGCAATGTGATGTGAAGGAAAGTAAAGCGCTTAAATGCAACAAGAAGCAGTCTATATGCTGTGCTATGATGACAAAAGATTGATGTGAACTATTTTGTTGTTGTTTAGAGGGAGAAATGAGATGTTATAGTCAGATGTGAATGTGAGAAGAAAGGAAACTACATTAGAAGAATGTGAAACTGATGTTTGTTTTACTGAATATGAAACAACAATCCAAGACACACCGAAGTAGTGAGCCTTTAAAAAATAAAAATAAAATAAAATAATTACCTGAAGAAAGCAGATCTGGGCAGATTTCTGTCTGACTGCTGCATCTGAATAACATCGCCTCATTTTGTTCCAGCTTCTTGTTCTTTTTCTGGTCATTTTCTGCCCCATAAGAGTCTGTTTTGGCTCCTCCACAGTCTCCAAACCCCTGAGGGATCTTACCCTCCTCACTTGAGCTTGTACACTTTCTGGGGCACCTCCAGCTGTCTTTTTCATGCCAGTCAGTCTGGCTCAGAGGTGGAGAGTGCTGCCTTGATGTGAATAGAGGTGACAGGATGGGAGACATGTCCTTAAAGCTGGTAAAGGTTCTTGGAGAAGCATCCCGGACTGGTGATGGAAACTGTGTAGGAGCAGGGGAGGTTTCTCCAACTGCTAAGAGAATGGGTGAAGCAGAGGTATTCCTCTCCGGGGGAGTGAAAGAGGGCAGATGTGATAGGTGGAGATACCTTCTTGATGATCCTACATGATTTGTTTTTTGAAAACTCTTGTTGGTTCCTGCTTTTGCTCCCTCCATCTTCAGGACTTCTCGCAGACTCTGGCTTAAAGCTTCACCTAATGCTTGAAACTCATCCACCATCACAGGCTTGTCTTCAGTGTGCTCTTTGTTCTGTCTCTGCAGCTTGGAGTCGGACTCAGTGTGGCCTCTGTTTCGCTCATCACCCAAACACCCATCTGAGATCGGGCTGCCATCTTTGATCCAGTCTGAACTGGTGTGACTCACTCGATGTATGATCCCTTCCACCTCCTCTATTTTGCTGATCACTCTCTGAGCTGCAGCCTCCTTCTCTGTCTCCTCATCCCTCCAATGAAAAGTCCTCTCCTTCATATCTTTTGCTCTATTTCCCTCGTATGTGTCCACCTCTTCCTGGTTTATATTTGTTTTTTGAGCACCCTTGATACCAACTTCTGTCTTTCTTTTCAGCCCAAAACCCGTAAAAGAGAAACATCTATCGTTATCATATTCAGACAAACCTCTATCTGACTCATGGGAGACACAATCCTCCTTCTCTGACACACTCTCTGGGGGAAAGTAAATACCTCTTTTGCCGGCAGAGCAGTGAAAATCTGAGGTTGTGGTGTCAGGCTGCCTTATCCTCCAGGCTGGCTCCAGCTCCTGTGGGAATAAATCCCTCACTCCTGAAGGTAAAACACTTCCTTTTTCCACAAATCTCTTTCTTCTTAAAGCTGGAGTGTGAAAGGCTGATTTGTCTTCTTTCAAATCCCACTCCCCAAAAGTAGGAGAACCTCTCAAATGAAGCTTCATCAGCCTCCTTGCCTTCAGAGGCACCCTTGGAGTCGGGGATGCCGTCTTAACGTTTTGCTTAAAAGTGTCATCCAATCCTCTTCTTCTCTTCAGAAAGAGCTGCGTCCTTGGAGATTTGGTCAAAGTATCCCTATTCTCAGAGAAGGAAAAGTTCGAATTCACCTTTATCCCTTGTTGGTTGCCCATGCTCATGAACTCCTGGCACTCCAAACACAATAATAACAACTCTGTCAGCAGGTGACTCTCAGGAGAGTCCTCCAACACTTTCAGGGCTTGTTTAAAGTCTGCAAGGCTGAAATTGTCTGCTTGACCCAGCTTCAGTGTTTCAGCTAGACCGTCCTCATTTGAGATGAATCCTTGTTGGTGCTTCAGAGGGGTCTGAGAAGGGGAGGCTGGGCCCCTGCTGTCAAAGAGGGATGGACTCACACAGCTCCTCTCACTGATCCAGCTATAGAGATGCAAGTTCTTGTGAGTGCTCTCCATAGTGTTATTTCATAAGCACATAAACTTATTTACAGCATTAATGGTTTCCTCTAGGCAGCCACCACTTGTCCTCCTCCTCTTCTTCTTCTTCTTTTCACATTTATCCTACAAAATAAAAGAAAAAGAATATCCCATTTGTTTTCATAGCTTTCAAAAATTGTTTCTGCTAGCAGATAGTTAAAAAATAAACTGGATTTTCTGCTCAGAAAGAGTTCAAAATATTAAAATTTAAGCACAAGAGTACACATGTAAAGCAGAGATGGTTTAGGACATTATTTTTTCAAGAATGCCCAAAATTCTGATTGTGTAGCTTCTCCTAAGAGGAGTATTTTTCTTATCCTTTTGTCTTGGTAATAACCCAAATCTTTATGTCACTTGCACTGTTGGATGGTCAATGACCTTTGATACACTTGGTTACTCTAGTTATATCCTTACTTAAGTGATTGGCATGACTATATAAAGCACTGGCGTAGGATTGCAAAATTCCAGGAATTTTCAAAGTTGGAAACTTTCCATGGGAATTAAGAGGAATATATGGGAATTAATGGAAATAAATCTGAAATTTACAAAATTGGAGATTGTCACTCATCAGGGAATTTAAATGTAGTTAGGGACCACACCCCCTATGTGCACTGTGCATTCCTCCATCACGTGCACAGATGATTTCTTGAACGCTGGAGGCCACACTTTTGAGCCCAAAGCACAAGACATTTGAGCCCACAGACTATAAACTCAAGTAAGTTTTGATAATATTATGGAGTAAATATATTTGATCTATAATAGTATTAATATTTAACTTGCAGGTGCTAAATGTAAGCCATTGACTATTTAAGGGGCTAGTTTATTATGGTGGTGGTAGCTACCTCAAATGTGATGCTGTTTCTTCTGACTACTGCAAGACGGTTTTCTGTAACCATACAATAATTTATACATCAATTGTCAAAGACCATTTCAGTTGTTTAGCCAACTATATTTCTGTTCATGCCATTGCATTAGTGTTTTTACAAGCTTTTTTGTTATTTTATTCTACAGAAAAGGGCCATGTTTGCCATCGCCACTCAAATAAATCTGTTAAATTGTTTTTTTAATTGTATTATTTTGCATGGATGTCTGCTTATGACAAAACAAAAATATTTACATTACTGTTTGGATATGATACAGTTTTTATGAATTACCCCCAATTTCCAGTTAATTCCCATAGAAAGTTTCCAATTAGGAATATTTCCATAATTCCCAAGGAAAGTTTCTGGAAGTTTTCTGCTCCTTTGCAACCCTGGCGTGGGGGCGTCTCAGGGGCTTCATGCATTGGTTCCTTAAGAGGCAGTGAACATAGCATGTCCATTTTTGCCATAAAAGTGAGAATTTAACATGAATGCTAATGGGGAATAATTTAGCTATTGGAGTCAGTTTAAGGAAAAATTTGAGGAGCAACATTTTTTTTTTTTTTTGTTTGCACTTCTGCTCTTGCTCCATCTTTTAAACTCACATATTGCAGCTGATGCTGACTCACAGAAGCTTCTTTTTTGCCAGCAGAAATGCTCTTTAAACTGACATAAATGCTTCAATAATCAAACTTAACAACTAAATAGGCTTTATTTTACTATCAGTGGCCATTTTGTAGGATAGCCACTTTTATTTTTGGTTCTTGGAGTATATTGTTTAGTTTTATTGGCTTTGGTAAAGCTTTTGATAAGATTTAACAACGTATTCGTGAATGCCCTACACTAATAAAACACACAGTACAGGTTTGTGCAAATGTAATGAGAAAATGAAAAAACAAAGCCTTCACCTAAAGATATAACGGTAGTAAATTTAGAAACTATTCAAGTAGTGAAAATAATCTCCATAATGCCATTAAAAGGTGATAAAAGTAAATATCCCAGAGAGGCGTACTTATACAACAGAGTAAAATTACAAGTAACGCATGTTTTGTAGTCATTCACTCACCAGTTGAAGTCACATCCCTCCACGCGGCAGCAGGTCTTCTTCAATAAGCGCACAGCAACACTTCAGTGACAGGGGTACAACGGCCCGCCCACTCGAGTGACACAGAAACGTTCTATCCAATCAGCGTTGTTTGTGAGCATTTCGAAGACTCCCATTGGCTCCTCAAGTCTCCCTCTAAATCCATTAAGGATTGACAGGTACTAAAGAGGGATTTGACGCTTTAAGCCATTCAACTGAGCACACCATCTGAGAAAAAAAACAAGAAAACTGTTACTCCACTGTCCTGAGAAGTGGGGCAGCTTCTTCCCTTCAAGGACATTCAAGATGGATTTGTTTGTGGTTCAAGCTTTTCAGGGAGAAACTTTTATCTTCACAAACAGAGCAGAGTCAGTCCTCTACTATTCTCACAGCAGCCTTTTAGCTAAGTGATATCTTTGCTGTTGAATATCTATCATTAGAGGTTATTTAAAAAGCATTATACTCTTCTGAACACAGAGGAAAAAGCCATCAACAAACGCTGTTATTTCAGAGCTTTTGAGGCTTAACCTGGCTGCTTTCCTGTTGAATTAGACGTGTGGACATGTTTAAATTCGTGGTCAAGAGTGAAAGTCCAGCTGTCACTTAAACTGTTTGCATTTTGTGAAGCTGATAGAGGCAGACTCTGGAGGCCGGTTGTTTTGGAACCAATATTGGTGAGAATGAAGCCCAGATTTCACAGATATGTGGTCTCACTATTCGTAGGCTCAAATCTCATCCAGAATTTCCATCCAGAAAACACGCAACACTGTGAAACTGCTAACTGTCACTACTTTGCATTTGGTGTGGCTCAGATGGTGAATTGAATCAACTTAAACCAAACTAACTCTGCAAACTAAGCATGTAGCATGTAGCTCACAGCATCATAGATGGAGCAAGAGCCTTTTTGAATAACTGGTATAAACTTCAAGCTGTCAAATAATTGTTGTTACAGATTTATTTATTCAACAGGTAAACTTTAAAGGTAGCCAGAATCAAATTACTTTACTCCAAGCTTGGTTACAAAGGGTGTCTTCTCTCTTTACCAAACCCGAGCCTCAAACTGAACAGCAGTATCTGGGAGATGTCCCCAGATGTCTTTACTTTTCAAAAGGCTTTATATATTTCTTTAAGCCTGGATTTATTTGTGAGGAGAATCTTACAGCCAACTGCCATTTATCACATTTGACATCGTCAGTTGACTTCCATCGGCCTGAACACAACATCAGGTATATGTCCAAATTAGCTCAGAATACAAGTTGGATAGAGAGTGAAAATATGCTCAGTTCATAAACAACAGCAACGTTAGATTGAAAGGTGTGAGAGGATTTTACTTCTAAAAGACTATAATCAGTGGTGCGAAAATAATCTGAACGTTCAATTTTGTTGTTTAATATTTTACTGAACTTATGGGTAATGTTGCTCTTTGTGTTAAACCCTCTTATGAAGATAATACAAGGTAAATATTGGGGTTAAACTAAAAGGCTAAGTCCTGAACAGATTTATTATCCAATACACATTAAGATCTAATATAGTCTAAGATAATTAAATGTTTTAGGGAGGATTTGTAATGAACCAATGAAAAGGCACAGATATTGGGTTATGATATTGATTGCTAATATTGCTGTCAATGCTAAATTTTACAATACAATATTAATACTCCAATTAGTGACTGTTTGGTTTGATATGCAGTTAAGGGGCTTAAAAAAGATGTGCATTGTTCCTGCACAGATTGACATTAAAAGAAGTTAAACCAATAGAGCTGGAGAAAAAAGAAGAAAGAGAAGAAAATGTTGTCTGGCTGACTGTGTATGCACTCTTTTTCCCCTTAAATGGCTTCAGAGGATTAGGCAGGTGTGTACTTTGGTGTCCACAGAGGATTCTCAACACCACAGTACACACCTCAGATTCTTATGAAGAGTTACTACTTCTACTACTAAGACGATTTTGATTTTCCCTGTTTGTATAAGGAAAATATCCCCACACCTCTCAGATCATTTGATGCCATACTGAATAACCATTTACATCCCAAGACACTGGAAAAAGAGCAGAGAAAAAAAACATGATTTTTTATATTATACATGTGCTACAGATGTCCATTATCCTTCTTCTCCTCCCTTATTTTCTACCTAACCTCTCCTATACTGGAGGGAGTGTAGCACTCATACACTTTGACTCTAATGTGGGTCAGTGAGTAGCCTAGGAGTTAATCCTTTTAACATCAATGAGGATAAATCAGCTTCACTGAATACTTTCTTTGAAAGCAAAACCTTTATTTCTTCTGGTTTGAATTATAAATCAGCTGTCCTTATATATGTCTAGACGTATACAAGAGTAAACACAAATCCATAATTAAAAACGTCTTGTATTTAAATACTTAAAGAACACATACACATATTGTGTCAATATACTGTATCTAAATATACCCTTACCAGCTTTCAATCTATGGCCTTTTTACTATATGCTGTGTTACTGTTGCTGATAAGTGCGTCATTGTAGTATTGCATGTGGAGTAAAGCTCATTTAAAACAGTTTGTTTTGTTGTATAATTTTATTCATTAGATTGCATTTGAACAAAAATGTTATCTCTTTTTAAATCATAATCTACAGATTAACAAAAGGAGGTAGAAATGTAAGTAACAGAAGCAGAAATAGTTTCTCCTAAGACAGTAAGGAGTACTCAGAGCGTGGACATGTTCAAGTAAAAGTACTTATTAAGTCAGTGTACCTGTACATTAGCACAATCAGACTGTGGTTGAGTATGTAGGTCACCACTGAGATTTCATTAAATCTGTCACTCAGTGAGGAACGCTGTCGCTCATTGAGAGTTTAGATCGCGGGTTCATGCCAATGCAAAGACTCTAAATTAACTCGGAGCACATAAGTCACATCTGCCCTCCTGATCTCCTGACCTTTCCGCACTGTGGTGTCTGTGCAGGTCAGCTGTGCACCATGCTGGGCTTTGCTCTACTGAGTGCATACGCCAGGCTAATCTGACCTTCTGACCAGCTGTCTGTGATAGATTACAGAAGTTCAAA